TATTCTTGATCAGCATCAACAGCCCAATCGTTCTAGCCAGGTCCGGTCGAAAAATAAATTTTTGACATTTTTCCGAAAATTGAAAATTTCATAAGGGGTTACATCATTAAAATTGCCAAAATTTGACAATAAATTGATTTTTTTAATTTAAAACTGAGTATTCAGCTTTGTTAATCTACTAAAAACTAGCACAGAACAGCTTTCCGAATTAAAATGAATGATTTTTTGGCTTAGTTATGAGTTTTTTAAACTATGATTTTTGGGAAAAATTGTCTGTTTTTATACCTTTTTTCGGGTTTTTATAATTTTAGTAAGAAACTTATAACAGCATCAACAAACGCAGTATGCAGATTTGTTAGTGCTATAAAAACTTGCGCAGAAAAGCTTTCCGATTCAAAATTAATGCAATTTTGGCTTAATTATGATGTTAGGAAAACTCAGATTATTTAAGAAAATTGTCTGTTTTTATACCTTTTCGCAGATTATAGCGTCAGTCCGAAGATTAAAACGCAGTGAAGGAGTCATTTCCGACCCTATAAACCATATATATTCTTGATCAGCATCAACAGCCCAATCGTTCTAGCCAGGTCCGGTCGAAAAATAAATTTTTGACATTTTTCCGAAAATTGAAAATTTCATAAGGGGTTACATCATTAAAATTGCCAAAATTTGACAATAAATTGATTTTTTTAAATTTAAAAACTGAGTATTCAGCTTTGTTAATCTACTAAAAACTAGCACAGAACAGCTTTCCGAATTAAAATGAATGATTTTTTGGCTTAGTTATGAGTTTTTTAAACTATGATTTTTGGGAAAAATTGTCTGTTTTTATACCTTTTTTCGGGTTTTTATAATTTTAGTAAGAAACTTATAACAGCATCAACAAACGCAGTATGCAGATTTGTTAGTGCTATAAAAACTTGCGCAGAAAAGCTTTCCGATTCAAAATTAATGCAATTTTGGCTTAATTATGATGTTAGGAAAAGTCAGATTATTTAAGAAAATTGTCTGTTTTTATACCTTTTCGCAGATTATAGCGTCAGTCCGAAGATTAAAACGCAGTGAAGGAGTCATTTCCGACCCTATAAACCATATATATTCTTGATCAGCATCAACAGCCCAATCGTTCTAGCCAGGTCCGGTCGAAAAATAAATTTTTGACATTTTTCCGAAAATTGAAAATTTCATAAGGGGTTACATCATTAAAATTGCCAAAATTTGACAATAAATTGATTTTTTTAAATTTAAAAACTGAGTATTCAGCTTTGTTAATCTACTAAAAACTAGCACAGAACAGCTTTCCGAATTAAAATGAATGATTTTTTGGCTTAGTTATGAGTTTTTTAAACTATGATTTTTGGGAAAAATTGTCTGTTTTTATACCTTTTTTCGGGTTTTTATAATTTTAGTAAGAAACTTATAACAGCATCAACAAACGCAGTATGCTGATTTGTTAGTGCTATAAAAACTTGCGCAGAAAAGCTTTCCGATTCAAAATTAATGCAATTTTGGCTTAATTATGATGTTAGGAAAACTCAGATTATTTAAGAAAATTGTCTGTTTTTATACCTTTTCGCAGATTATAGCGTCAGTCCGAAGATTAAAACGCAGTGAAGGAGTCATTTCCGACCCTATAAACCATATATATTCTTGATCAGCATCAACAGCCCAATCGTTCTAGCCAGGTCCGGTCGAAAAATAAATTTTTGACATTTTTCCGAAAATTGAAAATTTCATAAGGGGTTACATCATTAAAATTGCCAAAATTTGACAATAAATTGATTTTTTTAAATTTAAAAACTGAGTATTCAGCTTTGTTAATCTACTAAAAACTAGCACAGAACAGCTTTCCGAATTAAAATGAATGATTTTTTGGCTTAGTTATGAGTTTTTTAAACTATGATTTTTGGGAAAAATTGTCTGTTTTTATACCTTTTTTCGGGTTTTTATAATTTTAGTAAGAAACTTATAACAGCATCAACAAACGCAGTATGCAGATTTGTTAGTGCTATAAAAACTTGCGCAGAAAAGCTTTCCGATTCAAAATTAATGCAATTTTGGCTTAATTATGATGTTAGGAAAACTCAGATTATTTAAGAAAATTGTCTGTTTTTATACCTTTTCGCAGATTATAGCGTCAGTCCGAAGATTAAAACGCAGTGAAGGAGTCATTTCCGACCCTATAAACCATATATATTCTTGATCAGCATCAACAGCCCAATCGTTCTAGCCAGGTCCGGTCGAAAAATAAATTTTTGACATTTTTCCGAAAATTGAAAATTTCATAAGGGGTTACATCATTAAAATTGCCAAAATTTGACAATAAATTGATTTTTTTAAATTTGAAAACTGAGTATTCAGCTTTGTTAATCTACTAAAAACTAGCACAGAACAGCTTTCCGAATTAAAATGAATGATTTTTTGGCTTAGTTATGAGTTTTTTAAACTATGATTTTTGGGAAAAATTGTCTGTTTTTATACCTTTTTTCGGGTTTTTATAATTTTAGTAAGAAACTTATAACAGCATCAACAAACGCAGTATGCAGATTTGTTAGTGCTATAAAAACTTGCGCAGAAAAGCTTTCCGATTCAAAATTAATGCAATTTTGGCTTAATTATGATGTTAGGAAAACTCAGATTATTTAAGAAAATGGTCTGTTTTTATACCTTTTCGCAGATTATAGCGTCAGTCCGAAGATTAAAACGCAGTGAAGAAGTCATTTCCGACCCTATAAACCATATATATTCTTGATCAGCATCAACAGCCCAATCGTTCTAGCCAGGTCCGGTCGAAAAATAAATTTTTGACATTTTTCCGAAAATTGAAAATTTCATAAGGGGTTACATCATTAAAATTGCCAAAATTTTACAATAAATTGATTTTTTTAAATTTGAAAACTGAGTATGCAGCTTTGTTAATCTGCTAAAAACTAGCATAGAACAGCTTTCCGAATTAAAATGAATGATTTTTTGGCTTAGTTATGAGTTTTTTAAACTATGATTTTTGGGAAAAATTGTCTGTTTTTATACCTTTTTTCGGGTTTTTATAATTTTAGTCAGAAACTTATAACAGCATCAACAAACGCAGTATGCAGATTTGTTAGTGCTATAAAAACTTGCGCAGAAAAGCTTTCCGATTCAAAATTAATGCAATTTTGGCTTAATTATGATGTTAGGAAAACTCAGATTATTTAAGAAAATTGTCTGTTTTTATACCTTTTCGCAGATTATAGCGTCAGTCCGAAGATTAAAACGCAGTGAAGGAGTCATTTCCGACCCTATAAACCATATATAGTCTTGATCAGCATCAACAGCCCAATCGTTCTAGCCAGGTCCGGTCGAAAAATAAATTTTTGACATTTTTCCGAAAATTGAAAATTTCATAAGGGGTTACATCATTAAAATTGCCAAAATTTTACAATAAATTGATTTTTTTAAATTTGAAAACTGAGTATGCAGCTTTGTTAATCTGCAAAAAACTAGCATAGAACAGCTTTCCGAATTAAAATGAATGATTTTTTGGCTTAGTTATGAGTTTTTTAAACTATGATTTTTGGGAAAAATTGTCTGTTTTTATACCTTTTTTCGGGTTTTTATAATTTTAGTAAGAAACTTATAACAGCATCAACAAACGCAGTATGCAGATTTGTTAGTGCTATAAAAACTTGCGCAGAAAAGCTTTCCGATTCAAAATTAATGCAATTTTGGCTTAATTATGATGTTAGGAAAACTCAGATTATTTAAGAAAATTGTCTGTTTTTATACCTTTTCGCAGATTATAGCGTCAGTCCGAAGATTAAAACGCAGTGAAGGAGTCATTTCCGACCCTATAAACCATATATATTCTTGATCAGCATCAACAGCCCAATCGTTCTAGCCAGGTCCGGTCGAAAAATAAATTTTTGACATTTTTCCGAAAATTGAAAATTTCATAAGGGGTTACATCATTAAAATTGCCAAAATTTTACAATAAATTGATTTTTTTAAATTTGAAAACTGAGTATGCAGCTTTGTTAATCTGCTAAAAACTAGCATAGAACAGCTTTCCGAATTAAAATGAATGATTTTTTGGCTTAGTTATGAGTTTTTTAAACTATGATTTTTGGGAAAAATTGTCTGTTTTTATACCTTTTTTCGGGTTTTTATAATTTTAGTCAGAAACTTATAACAGCATCAACAAACTCAGTATGCAGATTTGTTAGTGCTATAAAAACTTGCGCAGAAAAGCCATTTATAATGTGAATTTTTGGACGATTTTTGCAAATTTTCATGATGTAACCCCTTTCCTTTTTTCCGAAAAATGGGAAATTTCTGGAAAATTTTTTTTTCGCCCGGATAAAGCTAGAAAGAAAAGCCTGTAGATGCTGATCAAGAATATATATGATTTATGGGGTCGGAAATGGCTCCTTCACTTTCTTTTAAGCTTCCGACTGAAGGTGCAATACCATTTTTTAATCTTTATTAACTATATTTTTACATGAAAATTTTTTCGAAAAATCTAAATTTAAAAAACTCATAACTAAGTCAAAACAGCATTAAATTCAATTCGGAAAGCGCTCGTATGTTAAATTTTAGCAGGTTAATAAAACTGCATACTCCATTTAAAATGTAAACTTTTGACCAATTTTTGGAAACTTAAAAAAAAAATTGTTTCCCCGCAGATAGCTATAACGATTCGCCTGTTGATGCTGATCAAGAATATATGTATATGATTTATGAGGTTGGAAATGCCCCTTAAATACATTGGAAACTTCCGACTTACATTATAAGATCCAGCAAGAGCTTAGTAATAGATTTACAGACAGTGAGGTATGTCTTTATAAATTTTCAATCTAAATGAATTAACGTATTTTCAGAGAGATTAAAAAACGAATTTAAATAATTTTAAAAAGCAGACTCCTCTCTTTGGTGTGACCAGCATCAACTATAGCCGAAGCTTATAGCTGCCATTCACAAATGATATTTCATGTGGAATTTTTCGCTCCAATCCACCTGGCCACACTCTGCGTACAACAAAAAATAGTCAATAAAAATAAATTAGATCAAATTGGCGAATTAAACTATATTAGGCGCGTCGCGACAGAGAAATCATCGTGGGGCGTTAAATAGTGATGCCGTGAGGAATGGCGGCAATGCGTCCCGTGGAAAAAGGCCGCTGCGCAACATTGTTCCTGCAGGTGTGTCTGCTATCACCAGCCACTTTTTGAGGGCGTTGTTGTTCACCTGCCCCCCTGCCCCTGTCCCCTTGCCAGTCACTGTCCAAGTATGTGTGCTAATCGTGAGGCGGTCTCCACCTCTACCCGTTCCCTCCTTATGTTCCATTTCAGAAATGTGCGCCCTAGTGCATGTGCATTGCGACTAATCCAAAGAGTCCCACGGGTCATAACGCATTTAACCACTAAATCAGCAGACAGATAGATATCCGCGATTCCGTCCCATTCCCCCCTCCCCCCCACCCCCCAATCATGGACGAGGACATCCTGAACGCCGTGGAGTCCATGTTCGGCAAGGACGTCAAGATCGTGGACTGTGAGACGTCCACGTCACTGCAGCAAGAGGAGGTGCTACTGGTCAACGGTGTGCCTGTCAAGCTGGACGGCCTGCCGGCGGACGACGCCAGTGCAATTAAGGCGGCCCTGCTGGAGGGACAAATGCCCTCCGTGGAGCATCTGAACCAGCTTCTTTTCCGCGCCGGCCTTGCCCAACAGCCCATCGAGGTGGAGACCTCGCTGACCGTAAAGTCCTCGCTTACCACCACAGAGGAGGTGCTTGTGTCGCGCAATGGCCAGATCCTGGACGAGCGCACGGTGGAGACAAAAGAGAACTTCAACCATCAGTCGCACCAAAAGGAGATCTGGCATCCCGTCAGGCAGCCGCAGCAGTCTGCCCTGGCGCGGGCTACACCGGAGAATGCCTTGAAATACCGAACCACTTCGAATTCCACGTTCGCCTCGCAGGCCACACAGGACTCCGACGATCCTCGTCCGGCCGATCCGCTGGGACGCCAGTTGAACCAAACCTTCTCGAATGCTTCCCTCATGTCCAGCAGCTCGGCTATCACGGGGTCCGATCAGGTGATCGGCTCCGCCTCATCCACCACAATCGGGGACAAGAGCTCGAATATTAGTAGCTGCGACTCCGGCCACGATGGCCTCTTCCACAGCGTTTCAATGAGTGCCCCGTGGTCACATCCGCGAGACACCCTTACCGACTCGATGTGCTGCGACATTCCCAGCTCCGCAGACGAGGCGGATGCGGTTTCTATACTGGTGAGTGTTTGGCTCCTCTTACTCTAGGTTCTCCAGCTTTCCTAACTGAAGTTTTCCTGTTTCAGAACACACATTTGCAGATCACAGAGCCAGCTGATTGCCTTCAGTCATCGCCAGTTTACGCCAAAGACATGCCCAAAAGCGGTAGCCTGGACTCACTAGTCAGCCTGCTAATCGCTGGCAAGGACGAGGACGTGGCGTTTGCCCTATTCACCTGCTTCCGATTGTTTTTGCCATCGCAGGATTTGCTCGCCAGACTCGTTGACAAGTGCCAAGACAAGGAGGATGTCCTGATCCGCCTACTCAAGCACTGGCTCATCATCTGCCCCGCTGACTTTAGCCAGGAGTTAGTGCTGCAGGAGCTGCAGAAGAAGAGCGGGCTAAAAGCTTTTCTGGACAGTATTCCTCAATCTCAGACCCAAAGGGAGGCCAAGTCGCGTAATCAACTGCAGTATCTACTGGCCAAACAGTCGTCGGCCAGCTCCCTGGGCCGTCAGAGCAGTATTAAGTCACTAAAGCGATTCGCCGCCAACGTCTACAAGACAGACAATGTGGCCAACAGCTGTGGCAGTGCTTTCGAGTTGGCCCATCAACTGTATGCCATAGAGTACGCCTATCTTTCGCAGATATGCCTGGAGGAGTTTGTGGATATGCTGGGAAAGAACGAACTTAAGACATACCTCAGTCAGACCAAGGCAGGCACCTTGGGAACGAGTCAGGTAACCATCGACAGCTATGTGCAGTGGTTCAATCAACTCAGCAGCTTGACTGCCACGGAAATACTGAAGGTGAGTTGAAGAAATACAAAGTAATCTCACTCTAAATGTATAATGTCCTTATCTTCTAGCTTGGAAAGAAGTCGCAGCGGGCACAAATGATTGATTTCTGGGTGGAGACAGCCCTAGAGTGCTTCAACACGGGCAACTTCAACAGCTTGATGGCCATTCTGACGGCTCTAAACCTGACTGCCATAGCTAGACTCAAGAAGACAGTGAGTTAACTTGGTTTCAACTGTAAATTTCTTACATGACGTATTTTTAGTGGGGCAAGGTGCAGACGACCAAGTTTGAGGGGCTGGAACATCAAATGGACCCCAGCTCGAACTTTCTCAACTATCGCTCCACCATGAAGGCGGCTGTTTGGCGTTCGGAACGCGAGATGGCCAACAAAATTGAGCGTGCCATTATACCATTCTTCTCTTTGTTCCTCAAGGACTTGCATGCCATTAACGAGAGTCATGAGACAATGTGGGTGCTCACTCACTAATTATCCTTGAGATCATTCACTTATCAGCTTTGTATTTCGCAGACTCTCTAACGGCAAGCTAAACTTTGAGAAATGCAGTCTATTGGGCTCTCACTTGCGTAACTTTAGCCAGTGGCAGCGTCTGGAGTGTCCCTACGAGCAGGTGTCTAGTGTGGTGTCTTATCTCCTGAAGGCAGAGGTGCTATCTGAGGACCAGCTGATGAAGGCCTCCTACGAGTGCGAGCCGCCGGAAAACGGCGAGGAGAAGGATCACTACAAGACGCTGAAGTCAGCCAAAAAGTCTTCGAATGCATAAACGCGCAATCATAACGACAATCCTTGGGATAGTGCAAACCACAGAAATAATAATAATAATAAGCAATGCATTAGGCCTCGCACACACAGTTTCGTTGGCGTTATCCATAATCCACACATACATCTTGCATGAAAGCAATAACAATAATAACTCTTACACACCGCCACCAGTTGTGTTTGTTGATTTTTCTGTACTTAAGCTTATTATATATTTATTTGCAAACCGATTTATACATACCGACGAACGACGGGCATTTAATTAGAAACACCAAAAATATGCATACAATAATTACTAATTAGTAATCTTTTAAATGTTGTATTTTAGCAGTTAAATATCCCGAAAAAAATACAAATAAAACCTAAAGACTTTACATCTACCTTTAGTATATATACATACATATGTAGTCCCTTAGCGGATAGTGGCATACTTCTGGCAGTCCACCGTGGCGAACTTTCCAAACAGCTCCAAGGGATAGTGCTTACCCTCTACAGGGGCATGGATTCGAATCTGCCGCATGTGTGTGTCCCTTCCATTCTGATGGTTGGAGATCACCGCGATCTGCAGCATGAAGGTGCGTATGGACTTGACATTACCGTCCTTAATGGGTATCTGCACCCAGCCAGTGGGTTCGGTGAGATCCATGACCTGTAGCTCTTGCAAATCATTGAAATTGGTTCCAGACCGTATGGAAATCCTTGAAGGAGTGTAGCTTTCATCCAGCTTGTAGTCGGTGTAGATGTAAATCTGGCTGATGTTCGTCCGCTTGTGGAACTGGATATTCACCAGGTGTGGCAGCTGGCCGTCCGACTGCCAGTACGTATCCATGATGTTGTCTCGCAGGCGTTCCACACCAAAACCTAGGAAACATGGATAAGAACTTATTTCTGGACCGGCTTTAAGATCAGCTTACCCGGCTTGCAGGAGGAGAGACTCCAAACGGCCTGGGCGCCAACTTCGCGCACAAAGCCCAGGCGCTCCTCGGCCAATGGATCCTCTTCGGGGCTGGGCACAGGGTTAGCCGATATATCCTCATCCATCGAGGCAGCCATAGTAGGCATTGAATTTGCTTTTCAAATAATTATGTTTGAGATTGAAATTGCTGAAGTGTGACCGTTTTAAATGGTCATAGAAATCCCAAATAGATTGAAGGCTGGTCACATTCATTCTCGAATGAAAACATCGCACATGTGCAGTTACAACAATTAACAAAATAATTAATTAAAATGGTGCGTAAACTCAAATTTCATGAGCAGAAGCTGCTCAAGAAGGTGGACTTCATCACCTGGAAGGTGGACAACAGCGGAAAGGAGAACAAGATCCTGCGGCGTTACCACATACAGAAACGAGAGGATTACACCAAGTGAGTGGACATAAACCACAATTTTCGGCATAATTAAACATATTTTTAAATGTTTTACAGATACAACAAGTTGTCCAGGGAAATTCGGGAGCTTGCCGAGAAGATAGCCAAGCTGGAGGCCTCAGATCCGTTCAAGGTGGAGGCCACCACGATGCTACTTAATAAAATCCATGCTATGGGCGTCTCAAATGATCAATTGACTTTGGAAACGGCAGCCAAGATCTCGGCCAGTCACTTCTGCCGACGACGGCTTCCTGTGATTATGGTTAAGCGTAGGTTTTATTATTGTAATTAAACTAAATACATTTTAACAAAAGGCTCCTCTATTACAGTACGTATGTCGGAGCATCTGAAGGGAGCCACAGACCTCATAGAGCACGGCCATGTACGCGTGGGTCCTGAAATGGTCAAGGATCCAGCTTTCCTGGTGTCCAGAAACCTCGAGGACTTTGTTACCTGGGTGGATGGTTCCAAGATCAAGGAGCATGTGATGCGCTACAATGATATGCGAGACGATTTCCAGATGTAAACAAGTACTTTTTAGATTTAAGTAGAATAACCAATAAAAACTATAGATTTTTTGTTAAATAATCATTGTTCAATAACTTTATTACATTTTATATAATAATGTTTTTAGATCTCGTTAATATTCATTATTTGGGAGCTAGTTGCGCCAAGGGCACAACTGCCCCGACACGCACATGCATATACATATTACATAGATTTATTATTTAACCTGATCCCCCACCAAACTGCTGCCCCTCTGCTCGGAACCGCTCCGAGATGGCTTCGTAGTTTGTAGTTGGATTATGCTCTATATTTTAGTTACGTTTCCCTCTCTTCCCTCCACCCTCACTTCGCTAACTAGAAATACAATGCACGAGTTACCTTTGCAAGGGATATAATATCGTTTTGTGTGCCGGAAGCAGGTGTAAATCATAAGATACGAGCAGCTTGGGTTGATCGATCGCTTTATTTAAAATATATATAAAAAACAGAATGAGTGTGTGTGGGTTAAGTGCAGGCCAGGTGCATCGAACGGTTGAGCGGTCTAAAGAGCGATCTCGAACAGAGTTTAAAGTAAAGTCGATGGCAGTTACAAGTCAATTCTAGCCAGCAAGCCAGGCCTTAGATCGAGAAGCGAAGTGCCATCGAAATCGGATGCTAATTTGCAATGCAAATTGCGAAGTTTTTAGAGTCTGAATGCGGCAGCATGCTGACTTAACCAGGAGCTCCATTTCAGCAGTCAAAAGTCTTTCTTGTTTGTATCGAGATATAGAGATATCTTGCTTTAAATATTAGTTGTATTATTATTCCTTTTTAAATACGCATTAAAAAGTAAAAGTATTAATTAGTGTTAAAATAAATAGCTAGTTGGCATTAAAATTAGTGTCGACTTTGGCTGCGGCCCGGCCCGTTTACACAATTGATTTTCCATAGTATTATTTCCGCCACGAATTAATTTCACATGAATTATAACTTCGTAATAACAATATATATGTATAAAACAAATTAATAAAAAATGTGATTTCTTTCTACATTTGTTCTTCGATTCCCCCCATTCATTTCCCTCGGAAAAACTTCATGACATATTCTGGCTTTTGGCTTTTGCTCCTCTATTCATCCTCATCTCATGCGTGAACAATAAATTCTCATAGGCTGGATTATATGCATTTATATTCAAAATAAATATTCAATCGCATTGTATTAATCACTACAATATTCCGTATTTCGTAAATTCCAATTCTTGATCTGATTCTTGTTCCTCAAACATGTGCAAATAGTAATTAGCCATAAGTATGTACTATATACCCCGATGAACACCATTGCCCCGCGATCTACACAATAACTTTGTCTATAATTGTGTTATGCTTCCGTGGAGAGATGTCTTAATGCGCAAAACTTGTGTAGAATTATGTAGTTGTGGTGGATCCCGGCCAAAACAGCGCCAAGCGCCAGTTGTTGGCTCCGCCGCTAACGAATTGCTGTTTGCACAAACACAGTACATCCCCGGTTCTCCCTCCATGCTCCTCGTTACACTCTACCCGATACTAGCTGCTTAGATGACAAGCGCCATGTCCTTTTTGCTTGGCAAAGCCACTCGCTTGCCCTGCCACAGCGAGTTGTGTATTGTGAAGGCGTCGATGGTCACTGTCAGATGCTTCGTGTGCACTTGCGAGAAGCACTTGCCACCTGAGTTGTATCTGCAAAGAAGGAATATATTGAACGTTAGCGAGCATAGAGTATGTAAAGCCCATTGTTAACTCACTTAAAGAACTTGTCGAACATCACTTCGTCGACTTGACTAGGCCCTGTGCCGTACAGCTTGGTCACCTGGTCCGTCTCGGGCACGTAGCTGTAGAGGGCGCGGAACTGACAGCCCGCATCGCGGAAGAGTACCAGGAAATGCTTCGCCTCCGAGCGTGCAATCTTCTCCAGCACTTTCTGTTTGGCCTCGCGGTTCACGACACCGGGAAAGACGCAGTATTCAACGGCGTTCAGGATGATGCCACGATTCGATTTGGCCGCTGGTTGTTTGTAGAGCTTCGGACCTGTCAATAGCATATCAAAAGAGGTTAAAATATTGAACGTATAAAAGGATATCTGTGGATATATTCTACTTTTTTGTTGGTGGCAAATGGCAAGCTTCTAGATTGTATAAATACTTTAAATTCTTCTAAGGCAGGCTACGTGCTAAGGCATAACTTTAAGCGAATCTACGGGATTCACTTGGGTTACATTTTTAAATAAAAATAAATCAAATAATAGAATTATAATCTCAACAATGAAATAATTAAACTGGCTTTATTTTCCTAAGCGTAAAATTAGTCGTTAAGTAAACAAAAATAAAAACGTTCATACAAATCAAACTTCAGTGCTTGCATATTTGCTTTAATTTTGTTTTAGTATTTCAAAGTGAAGCGGTTAGTCGGGCCAATCTGGTTCTTATTTTTCGGGCTTGGAAAGCTTTTTCTTGGGTGCTTTAAATCACTAGGAACACATTTCGTATGTCGGGTTAACGTTTGACCATCGAAAGTCGTGGATTTGACGGCGCTATATATATAGTAGGGAACGTAAGAAGTGGACGAACGAACGAACGAACCAAGTATCGGATTCTACAGACTGTCGCAGACCTCTAGAACTTGTATATCATCTATGTAGAACTCAAATATGTATGGCATGTTGAGTAAATAAATAAATGCAATCTGCACAACAGATGCCAATTCTTTTAAATGGATGGAACTTATGGAAATGATTAAACAGTATAAGAAATAAGAATGGAAATGAAACTATAAATGTATAAAATCATAATGCGACGTCCCATTTTGGGAGAACAAATGCAGATGCAGGTGATGATCGGTGGAGAGGGTGAACTATATAACTGAGGATTGTTTTGAAGAATGGGTTGACTGTTTTGTTGTTTGTTGAAGACGTGTGTGGGAGAGAGAGACAGAGGAGATACAAACCCGAATATTCCATGTTCAAATTCGGAGTTAATGAGAAATCGCTGGATCCATCATCAAATCCGCGACGTTTCGATATCAAACCTGGCGGCAAAGAGCCCGGTCCCGAGGGTGATGGCATATGCCTACCTGAAGCGCCCATTCCCATTCCAGGCGACGGAGCACGCCGCGGCGGTGTGGCGCGTCCCAGTCCCGAATCTGTGTCTAACCGGCAAGCAACAGATAGAGAGAGAGTGTGGTCGTCGTGGTCAATCATTCATTCAGCGGCGGGCGATGATGCACATGCACAAAACAGATCGGATCAGAGCGGGCGAGATCATCACCCAAGAGTCCATGCAGGCGGGTGTGGTACCAGTCGATGGATGCGTTGTTAGTCACGTGGATGGATGGCGATGAGTTCGTTTTATTCGGTTAATAATATCGGTTTTATTCATATTTGGTTTGTTTGTTAATTTCAAGTATCGTTTTTAGACAGGGTTCAGAGTTGAGTCGAAAGAAAGAGAAATAAAAGAAGAGAATGTGTGCACAAAATTTAGTTAAGCAATTTCGTAGATCTCTTAAAGCTAATCTTGATCATGATCTGGTTTTAAATCGAACAAATGTACAGTGCACGTGTGTAAAAGTGAGAGTGAGAGTGAGTGTGTCTGTGCCAGAGTGTATCGTCGTCATCTTACAAGACGAATCCGGAACCGGAACCGGGATCCCAAAACCATATCCCTTATTTCGCTGAGACAAAACACAAAAAAGCTTTGAGAGGGAACCAGGACCAACACCACCACCATAACCACCACCATTGTCGCATCATCATCATCATCATTGAAAGCAATTGGGAAGCCGAATCAGCGCAGTGAAGGGTTACAGATCAAAACCATATAGCAAATTATAGTATACTTCAAAGATATGTACAACAAATCAAGGATAAAGATAATATAGAGTACGGAAAGTAAGAAAGTATACAAGTACTGGACACCATCAAAGACCAAAGATACCGAAACCAAACTAAAGGATACAGGTTACATCCCGAAAATCAAATGAAAGACGTAGCAGTAGTAGATACTTAAGGGGATACAGTAGAGAGTAAAGGTAGTAAACAGGCAGGCAGCTTAGCTTGTTGTGGTTGTGGAAACGCTTCTTACCGCACAGATTCATTAGCGAATTGGACTTTCGGCCCCGGAAATTAAGCGTGCTGCCCTTCGCAACGGAGATCCGCGACAGAGTGCGGCCCCTTTCAACGCCGGCTGGCTCTGAAAACAGGTCAAGTCGGGTCGGGGTCACGAGAGACGCGACCACGGAGCCCGGAGTGTGTGTGCATCAGTATACAGGTGGAAAATACTAGATATTCTTTCGCAATTCAATTAACACAAATGTATGGGTGGGTGGTTGGCACACAAAATGAGGCTTACAATGATGTCGTAAATCAAACTTATTGTCCCGCAACCTCAAAAAACCAAAGGGAAACCAAATTAAAATATCCTCGAAACCTAAACCACGTCTTGTATCCATTTTTTAGCTCTCAGCTGTGGGTGCTTTTCTGGCAGTGCTTTTCTTTTTATGTTAGTATAGCAGCTTATCTTATAATTGTTTTTTTTTAGTTTGGATTTAGCGTGACTTTCCTTAGCGATAAACCAGTAAATAAAAATAGTTGTTAATTCAAGACCAAACCATAAAAACTAGACAATTAAAAAGAACATTTTCAAAAGCGTGTTTGAATGCGAATTTTGTGGAATCGAAGGAAAATTATAAACTAGGGATGTATGTAGAAAGAAAATATATATAGGTCTCGATATCATAAGGAAAATATCGTAGTTTGATATAAGGTATATATCAAAATGTATATTTTCTCCCATCCCAAGTAAAAAACTAAAAATAAAAACTTGTTCAGCGTGTGTGTAAGTGTGTGTTACCCATCACCAACCTCTGGAAGTTTTGTACGATCCCCGTCGTCCAATCGGAGTTGAACTTGTACTGGGATAATCATCGGGTGACTCTGTGTGAACAAGATTAGTGGTTACATCTTATCAAATATCCATATCTATATAGTTATTATAGAGAGAAGAGCTTACAGCCTACAATTTAGTTCGAGTGCAGTTAACCAGTAACCGAATCAACTTAGGCGATAATTAAACATGCTGGGCCTTAACTTAGATAATAACTAAATACGAATACAGATGAAATATATAGACAATGCAGAGTAATAATGAGGGTAAAATAAAAGCCAAAAATTACCTTTTACAGTGAGGGAGTCTTGCGAGCCCCTGTAGTAATCTCGTTTCATTGAATTTGAGCTTAGCTGACCGTAGCCTGTAGGTACAGTTCAAATTCAAAACGAAAACAAACGAAAAAGGTCAGCAAATTAGCAATAAATTACGGGGAATAAACAAAATCAATGGCTAAATAAAAACAGGTCACATAAATTATAGGAAAAAACATGAAAAAATTAACATAAAAACAGTGTGATATCAATTGAAAACGATTTCGTTATACCAAAAGTGGACCGATTCCTCCAAGAAATCATATTATCTCTCAGATACACAAATTCTCTAAAGAAATCGTAAAAACCCTCAAGCTCACCAGTTAGATTCGAGCTGGAGCCTTTCTTGCCCCGACTAGAGATGCTCGAAGCCTCACTGATATCCACGCTGGCATCGTCCACATGGATGGTCTTGGGCCTGGGACGCGTGTTGCGCTGCTGTCTCAGCCGCGGAGTCGTTGAGGTGGATGACTGGGGTTGCAGTTTAACATGCAGATCGGGCCGATCCAGGGTTTTACCCTACAAAAAAATAAAACAAATATATATTAGAACTCAATGAATAGAAAGCAGTTAACTTATTTACCTCTCGCTCGGCCTCTTCGATGGCTTTCTTGAGTCTGTGCTGTTCCAAAATGGCAGCTCGTCGCGCCATTTGCTCCTCCTTCTTGCGCGCTCGCTCCTCCTCCTTCTCGCGCTCCTTTTCTCGCTTCTGCGAAGACTCAATCTCCTTGCGCGCCTTGGCCTCCTCCTGTTGCTGTCGTCGTTGCAAGGACAGCAGCATAATCTTCTCCTTGCGCCGCTCCATCTCATCAACAGAGTCCTGGAAAAGCAAGAGTATATTGTTGTTAGTTCATGGGGTTTTAATTGGGAATTTCTCTTGAGTTTGTTTACTTCCAATAGCGCGAGCCACTTCATTTTCTTGGCGGTAAATAAATATAAAGAAATATATAAACGGTCTACAAAATTCTAAATTTTTCGCTTGGGTTCTTAGAAATAAATGTTACAAAATACGCAACGAATGCTTTGATGCAACCTTTGGTATGTTGAATGGAATATCTATTTACTGATCTTATTAATAATAGATGTTACATTGAACTTACCGGATCCAAGTTGGCGCTGTCCGCTCCTATGACCAACGCCTTATTCCTGGCCGCCTCCGCGTTGTTGCTGCTCTGCTGGAGCCGCGTGGGCGACATCGGCTGCTGGGGCAGTGGCGCCGGCTGGTTGGTCAGATCTTCCAGATACCGACGCTCGTGGCCAGTGGGTGACACTGCTCCTGAGACAGCGGCCAGTTGCCGCAGTTGAATGGGCGGCTCGTCGGTGTACTTGTTGTAGGTGGCATTGCCGGGGATTTGACACTGTTGGAGTGGCTGTTCAGGCCATGGATGCTGTGCCTGGTTGTTGCCGCCGGCTTGCTGCTGCTCTCATCTTCGCCACCGAACCCAATGTTATTGTTGTTGTTGTGCAGCTGACTCAGGGACTCGCGTTTGAGGGTCGCCTGGTGATCGACGTTGTCCCTGCTGCCCGGCAGCGCCTCCTTCTTGGGTGATCGCTTGGCCCGCAGCGGTGGCTTGGGTCGCTTGGGCTGTTCGTCGTCGAAGGAGATGTAGAAGCCCTTCTCTGGCGGCTCTCGATCATCACCACTGGATGCCGCCGCTGCAGCTGCAGCTGCCATGGCCCTGGGATCCTGGAAGCTGTTGGCCTGAATGGAGGGACGGGAGGGCGAGGGTATGCGGTAGGTGAGGTTGCCGCTGGTGATGTTCAGCTTGTTGGAGATCATCTCCCCGCTGTCGTAATCCTCCGAGCTGCTGCCTCGTCCGCTGTGGCCCTGCAACCGCATCTGCTGCTGGTTCTGAAGCTGCAACTGGTGTTGCTGCTGGGACTGGTGCACAAAGTCGGAGATGCGCGTGGACTGCATGGACTCGATGATGTTGCGCTCTAACTCATCCACATCCTCCTCGTCGCCGATGAAGCAGATGCTCTGCGGCGCCATCATGTCCTCGTGCTGCATCGGCATCCCCAATGGCATTCCCATGGGTTGCGGGGCCTTGGGCGAACGATTATCTCGCAGATTGGTCAGAGACTGCTGGCGCTGGACCCCGTTGGAGCCACCCACCGGTCGTTGGCCGTGCTGAGGTGAGGCCTGGACCTGGAAGAGATGCTGGAGCTCCCCTCCGCCGCCAGCGCCACCACCGCCTCCACCGTTTTGATGGAGGACAAAGCTGCCCGGGCTGGGTGCTCCCACACTCGACGGCGGCCTGTTCATCCAGGTCTGCTTCTGCTTCTGCTGCTGTTGCTGCTGCTGCTGCGTTTGCCAGGCATTCACGTCGACTAGTGGTTGCTGCATCTGCTGCTGCTGCTCGTAGGCGGCCGCTGCTGCAGAGTGCGCCCAAGTGCGACGCTGCTGGGGATGTCCTTGTTGCTGTTGCTGCGGCGAGGACTCGTGCAGGTAAAAGTGGTTGGTGGGCTGGCCGTAATCGTCGTACACCACGCTACTCCTGTACTGGGGCGGAGCTCCCCCAAAGGGAGAGTGGTTGCTGTGGTTGTAGCCCGCCCCATTGTCACTGTAGATGCTCTGCGGCTGCTGCGGTTGCTGCTGCTGCATATAGTGGGCGGGCTGCGGCGGCGACATGTACTGACCGTGCTCGTTGACATACTGCATTGGCTGGGGCATGGCCATGGGCTGGTGCTGCTGCTGCTGCTGTTGGTGCTGATGCTGCAACTGCTGCTGGTAGGGATCGCGACTGGGAGGACGGGAGCTGTACGCACTCACGGGGGCGTTGTAGGCCTGCGGAAGATGCGGCGATGAGCCAAAGCTTTGCTGCATGGTTCGCGACGGCTGGTAGTGGTGATCAGTGGCCAGGTGCTGCTGCGACCCATAGGTCTGCTGCTGTGGATGCGATTAGTGCGGATAACAGGTGGCGAGAGTTGCAGGACATGGCGGGTTGCAGGTTGCAGATAACAAAACGAGATCAGTAGAACAGAACTGGTTAGTTGACAACGAGCTTGGCATGTTTGGGTCTTGAGTCTTTCTCTAATTGGTAACAAATAATACAAGTTCATGGTTAGAAAGATATCGGTTGCTTTTGGATGAGATTTATTTGAAGGATAAGCTATGCAAGGAATATCCTTTTACAATCAGGACTCATCTAAAAGCAATCAATATCAAACAACCAAGAAGCTCAGACAAAACAAAAAACATTAAGCAAAAATCCACGTCCGTCGTTAATTAGCGAGGTAGTTGCTGCTGCGATGAGTTTGAGACGGGGAATGTGGTTGGATGGCGGTTACCTGGTTCAGCATGTTGGCTATCTGCTGGGCCTGCATCAGCTGCTGGGCCTGCAAGTGCTGCGCCTGCATCTGACTCTGCTGGGTGGCCAGGCGGTGAATATCCTGCTGGATATCCTGCAGGTTCATGTTCATGATGGCGATGCTTTGCTGCTCGTTCCATTGTTTTAATCGTATTAATTGTTCAGTGGGCGGTGGGTTAATGCGAGTGTTTGATTTGTTGTGTGTTTTGTTTTGTAGCGTGAGTATGTTTGTGTAAATGTTGAAGCAGGCACAGACACAAAATGGGGGGCAGAAGAGAGGAGACACAGGCGTTAGACATTAATTCTCTGGCACTCGGAGGATGGTTAGTGAGGGGTAAACATCATAGATATAGAAAGCCACACCCACCTGGTACTTGTCCAAGTCGACGGGGTCCATGTCGGGCGTGCGCTTTGACTCGTTGCTCATGGTCTCCCACTTCATGACATCCGGACAGGACTCGAGATCCTCCTGGGAATAGATCGAATTTGGCTATTAATCTCCACTCTGGAAGCGACTTATCAGTCAAGCACTACCTTCTCCTGGTGCCTCAGCAGCGCCATCTCAATCTTTCGCTTATCCTGCTCGATGCGACGTCGCTTCTCCTCCAGCTTCATCCGGATGGTGGACAGCTTGCTGGCATTCTCAAGGGATCGCATGTCCTCATCGCCCACATCCAACTGCCAGGCGGCGGGACTTGCCGGCATGCTGCTGGTCGATGACTTGCGCACGGGCGTGCTCTCCGGATCGTAGCCGCTGGTGGAACGCGCATCGTTGTATGGGTCCGTCATCATGCCGCCGCTGTTGTTGTGGTAGTCTTTGTCGATGGAATGTTGCTTGTGCCGGGCCATGGGCAACGGGCTGCCCGCATTCGAAAGATTGTGAGACGACACCGTGGGTACATTGTCGACGCTGTCGAGGAAAGAAAGGAATATTAATAACTGTCATATTTCTATTGCTTCCATTATCTCACCTGGCTTGCCGCCGCATCGAATACTTTTCCGTCTCGCGATCCTGCTTTTCAGAGCCCGAATCCGTATCATAGCCGAGCTGCAAGGTGCCCCGAGCATCGGCAATCGAGGACCGAACGGCCACAGCGGGTTCCACTGTAAAGAATTGATAAAAAATTGAGTAAATATTATTCACTAAAGCCTCCTAAGAAGGTCACTACTATACCCACCTACGCTGGTGTTGGACAACTTGCGTTCCCTTACATCCCGCTCGCGTTCGTATCTTCCCAGCGTATTCAGCTGATCCTGAGATCCGCCAAAGTTCTCAATGGTTAGCTGGGAGTCCTCGCTGGAGGAATTCCTTCGCGAGCGACGTCCTGAAAAGGGCAGAGGGGTGTCTCAATCAAAGGAACTTGAACTTGTAAAACAACGCCAAATGGGTTTCAGGAGAGAGAGATAGTATTTGAAGGGCACAAAGAAAGCCAAAAATGAACCATTAAACGAAACAATATTGCATTCAAATCAACACAACACGCACAGAAATGGAATACTAATGTAAGCTACAACGATTCTGGGTCACTATGGTGGCTCATACCTGCAAAGCTTGGCCGGCGGCTCTGTTCCCAGTTACTTGGTCGACCCGCAGCGACAAAATCGCCTGAGAGGAGCACGAAACCAAAAGAAAAATACAAAAATAAATGAAATGAACAAGTAAAATTAAGGAAATTATAAAGTAAACCAAGGCAAAAACTTGTATGTGGTGGCACATATATAAAGGTAATCTGTAGTCCTTGAGGATTGCAATATCCTATGGCTTCTATTGCCACATTCAAGTCTTTGGCTTAGAAATAAAAAGTAAAATGCTAGCTGCGAGGCAAACCTCTCTCGTCCGCCTTCGACTCCACATTGGTCTTTTCTTTAGCCTGACGCAAGCGAGCCGGAACCAGGGGCTCCTGCTGCTGCTGCTGCTGAAGCTGGAGCTGTGACTGCTGGTGGTGATACTGCGGCTGCTGCTGCTGCTGCTGTGCCTGCTGATGGAGCTGCTGCTGCTGCTGCGAGTGCATGGAGGCGAGGGTGGTGATGCCACGCGACTTGTGCACGACGAAGGCTGGAGCGGAGCGGAGCGGTAGCAGGCAGCGGCGAGGCAGTTGCATGACGGTTGTGGTGGTTTGTGGTTGTCAAGCATGTGGTGTGGGTCGGGGGGTGGATTCAGAAAAGGAAAAATTGAACAAATTTAATTAAAAACCAATAAACATGTCGAGTATATGTCTCTCTATGTCTCTGTGTGCTATGCAAAGGCAAACCGAAACACACACAAAACTAAAGGTAAAACATACATTAAATTAATTAAAGTAGGAATAATAAATAAGGAGATAAAGAAATTACCTTCGGCCTGATTACTCGAAACATCGAAATTCGCCTGGTATTCGTTGGGCGGAGTGGATCTTCGGTTTAGGCCGCCGCCAACTGAATTCGAGTGCGGAACTAAATTATAAACAGAACATTAACACAAAAAAGAAAGAGAAATAAATAAAAAATAATCAATTTGTTCAGCTTGCAAGGTAGATGAACTTCAAAATATATATTTCGGTTGCATCGGTAGCATCGGGCAAAGGCAAGCAACACAAATCGAAAGCAGAAACATTCCGTGTATGGATGGGGTGCCAAGTAGTTCCCCATGAACTCGGTAATTATCCCACGGGGAGGTCCCTTTATAGAGTTACTTCCACTCTATCGAATGCATGGGTTTGTTTACAGGTTAATAGCTATTGTATATAGCTATTAATCCCCTTAAAGTCTTCGTTTAGTCAGGGTGCTTGGTACTAAGATGACAATATGCAGTTCTATTGCTTAAAGGTCCAAAAATGAGTGGGTGCTCTTATGACAAAGACATTATCGTGTTTCTGTGCAGACTTAAAACACTCGGTTTTACTTTGCTACTTAGGCTATATATTATAATGATTGTTATTATCAGACAGCTGTGATCACCAATCCATCCCTTGGGATATAAACATGAAGCAAACGAACATAGGAACGAACGAACAAACAAACTCAATGTGTGAGGGCAGAAGAACAAGCAAACAAACATCAAACAAATGGAAATGGAAACAACACATTCATGAACAAACGAAGGAGTTAAAATCGAGAGTTGTATTTTAAGGGGGAAACACGGATAGAAAATTTGAAGACAAAAACCTTGAAACGGCGGCCGATTCGAGGGCGAGCCAACGGGCGGCTGGTCGAGATCGCTGCGCAGATCGGGAATGGGCGTAACGGGCTGTACGGTAAGGCCCCGTCGATGGCAGATCCCGTGCTCATTGGCGCCCAAATTGCGCCGGGCGATGACATCTGGAGCGGATCACACACGTTGCGTTTTGGTTAAGTGTGGTTTTTGTGATGGGTGTTCGGTGTCAGTGTGTGTGTGGGTGTGTGTGGTTAGGAGCCAAATTTCGATACGATTGCGGTTACAAGTGGGCAAGAGGAAGCGTTTGCACAAGAAACAAAGAAAGAGATCAGTACAGAATTGATTTAATTCGAATTTGATTTGGATTTAAGAATGTGGAGACTACGTTCGGTGTGGGAGCAGGTGAAGATGAGAGCTTTACATATGGATTCCATGTCAATTTCATTGGTGGATTCTGTGGTTATACCTCCAAAAAGGAAAACAAACCACAGTTCAAATACAACAAAACATAAATAAGGAATTTGCTAGATTTCTGTTGTGGTTTCTCTCGTCACCCAAATGGTGCTTTGCGGTTCTGCTTAAACTGAGAATTCTTTGTGGGCTAATTTACAGATTCTACGAGCTGTGAAGCGCTCTGAATTCCTATGTACTTGGTAAGCTTTCTGTGACTAATTGATGTGATGTGATAATACCTTTTAAATTGAGTCATTTCTTTGTTGTTTCTCTAGACCTAAAGTGAGTAATAATCCCCTTTTTTTTTCCTCTGTGTTGACCAATTGTTTTATTTTATTCCCAAATTAGGAGTAAAACTCAAGGCAAATCATACGTAAAACTATGACGAAAACAAATTGCAAACAAGGATACACTTTGGACAACAATGCATGCCCCGGGGACTGAGATATTTGGAACACAGACAGGCAGGCCAATCGTTTCACGAGGGGGGAATAGATCGATCAGGGTCTTTGGGGGGTATGGATGCGATGCGGTGCAGCGTTTGGGGAATGTTTAGACGATATAGAAAGGCGTACACTTACCCTGACCATCCATTCCAGGGTAGCAGACACACTTGGCCGGGTGTATCTCAAACAGATTGAACAGATCCGTGAGCAACAGGACCAGATTAAGTTTCATGGAGCTGCAAGAACAAACTTATTAGATATTTACTTCTATATATAGGAGGCTGCACATCAATAGCTACCCTCGCATATAGGTAACATCCTCAGGCGTCATGTGGAAGACGCCATATGGCAGATGCTTCTGGGAGAAATTCGCCACTAGCAGTATATTGTGTATGGAATCCTCGACGGCGGGCAGATAGTTGATCCTTACACTCGTCCACGGCACCACCTTGGGGCAATAGTACGAGATGAGCAAGGCCAAACAGATGCCGTCGCACAGATCCTGGAAGTCCCTGACAGGCGGTATGTCCGGCGTCTGCAAACGGGAGCCCTAAAAGCAAATCCATTAAATTAATAAACTGACTTTTAAAAAGGGGAATTATCTCTCACATTTTCATCGGGCATTCCCGTCTCCACCTCCATGATGATGCGTTTTTTAAGAGCCGCACATGCATGCGATATCCAGCCCAGAAGAGCTTGCTCATAGGACTGGCCTGGAGGCGCCTGGTAATTGCTGCCAGATATTCTGCAAGGAAACATTATAGCTCAGACTGTATAGTAAGGTAACTTCTCCTCACCTTCGAATGGCCGACATGACGCGGTCACCCGATGATATTTCCTTCGCATACAAGACCATCAGCGATTCTATCACAGACATGTGGGCGTTCTGGAAACGATTAAAAGGGGTCATAAATTATATCGAAGAACTCACAAATATATTCAAATCGTTTTCTACTCACAATTCGCAGGGGATTCGTTTGAATCAATACCGTTTCGGTAATGGGCATGTCCGAGGTTTCGGCAACGGGTACTCCCTTGCGCGCTAGCGTCTGTAATATTGACCAGTGGTTCATGCTTTGGTAGTTGGGATCTGAGTACAGGTTGGACAGTGTCTGGCAGTAGAGCGTGGCATTGCCCAGCTCCACAATGATCTGCGGCTTGAGGCGCTCCTGGTTCTCATGGTCGCGATAGAAGGGCTCCTTTAGGTTGTCCGGCACGCGATTGTTGAAAGCCTTCGAGAGCAGCCACTTGACGGAAGCACGTTGACGAGCCTGCAATGGTTTTGAATGGGATTAAAGTGGTGATGATGTGAGAACAGGTGTCCCTCCCAGAGGAGCTCAAGGCCACGTTAAGCCTGCGTAGCTGTATCCTCTGAATGGTACTCTGATTTTTATCCCTTGGCAATTAACTAGCGCACTGCCAAGTGCCTTTCGTATCTGTATCTGTGTACCCGCCCTGCCTCCCATCTGTTGCATCTGTATAGCTGTAGCACTGGCTCCAGCTGTATCTGTATCTGTATCTGTGCGCGGAGTGAAGCCATGCGTACAATCTTCAATATGAGTTCGATAAACTCGCTCGTGTTTGGCTTGGCGTGCGCCGCCAGCCGCCTTCCATTGTTTGCCCCATCTCTTTTAATTTTTGTTGTGTTTTTTGGGAAGCAAAGGGAGTGGTGGTGTGGAGCGAAGTGAAGGGGTTGCCTGCTCGGCTGGACGATGGTCACTCAGCATGAAAGACTCCACTGGCACTCGCGGCTGGCTCTTTCCTGCTCCGATTTTAGAATCATCTCGAGTGCTGTGCCTTGTTTCGCCAGCCAACCCATTTCTTGCTGCACTCATAATCACAATTCCTACAGAGCCATGCACAGCCATGGCAGCCAGAAGCTTTTATTTAGGAATGGCCTCTTCTGGGTCTAATTGAAACTAGGGGGGGAAAAGCAATCAAAACAGAGTCTCAAGAGGGAAAATGTCGCGGAACCAGACGCGGATGTCGGAGCAATACGAAATATATGTTTCCATTTCTATTATCTCACCTCAAGAACAAATTTAAGACATGGTTCACAGATAGCAGAAGGTGTAAATAGATATAACATTGATTTTTTTGGACTGCGGAACCTCCATTTGCCAGCCTAAAATAACCAAGCAAAGTGCGAGGGATTATATTAATGAAGAAAGTAAACATGGAACAGCCCACCGCACAGTACACAGTTGAGATTATTTCCTAGGAAAGATAACAGAGGAACTAAGAGACAGAGAGAGTGAGTGAGAGGAGGAATCCATCATTTTTCTCTATTCTCCACTCAATTTCGGCGCCTCTTTTTGGAGGTATTTGTTGCAACACCTCTCTGTTGTATCTTGTATCTTTATTATTTTGCTTTCATTCCATAAGTTTCAAACGGGTTTCTCCACAAAAAGATCGTTGCATGAAGTCATCAATAACTGTGTCAGCCGAGAACCAAATCGAACTCGTTCAATTCCAATTCTTTTGCCTAACAACAAAATGTATCTTTTTGGCTTAAAAGCTTATTACAAAATGCCATTCCAGATCAAGGCGGGGTAACTGCAGAGGGACAGAGGGGCGAAGGGGATTCAATATTGGCGTAGGTCGTAGACCGTCGTCCAACTATGCTCGTGCTATGCGAATTGGTCAACAGGTGGAGGGAAAACCTGTTTGCCAGTTGAGCAGCGCTTGCTTTCCACCCAAAAGAAAAACTGTCCGCCACATAATTTGAATGGTCAGGCAAACGGAAAAACTCTGGCTGCACTTTGCTTGCCATGCGGGGGAAACCCCTTAGCAAGGCGAAACCAAATGTCTGAAACTCAAATTTCAAAAGAGCGTGTAAACAATTCGAAGAAAAACAATAAATGAGTGCTGCTCTGGGACGCCCACAATGAATGGAACTAGAGATGGATAAATGGATTGAATGGATGGCATGTTCCAGCATACAAAGTGCAGAGAGAGAAAATGGAGTGATCTACTTGTGTCGTGTCAAGACATTAATAAAGATTAATACTTGCTGATGAAACTCTTTAATTTTAGTGCTATTATATATAGATTTCTGTTGATTTCTTTAAGCGGAGAGGGTATTAGGAACTGGCCTACCAAGTGCAAGTATATAATGGTTTCAAAACGTATGGTAGTTGGGGGTTTTAACTCCTATTCTCTAACTTTTGAATTCCTACAACATTTTCTTCATAATTTCGCGATATTTTGGTCTCTGTATCCACCACATCGCCCGCATATGTTTGCCATAAAGTTGCTTGGCGTTCTTTTTAAATGTCACAAATGGAAATTAAAATTTGCGCGGCTTTATGATTTCATTATCTTGCCCGGACTGGCGTTTGTTTTTCTTTTTTTTGGTGGCATTCCATTCCATTCCACGATAACCGAGTCTAAATATACCAGAGTAAAATCGGAGGAAAGCGGCAAAGAGAGCGCCCTGCTTGAGTCAGCAACTTTGGGTGTTTGAATGGGTTTCTGGTGGGGTTTGCTGGCGCTCTCGTTTGTGTTTGCCGCGTTGTATTGCCAGCGATCACATAGCCGCGTCAAGAACAGCCAGCCCAAGCTCCCAAGCTCCAAGTTACAGCTCCAACTTTCTAGGGAGTTGTCCAAGGGGAAAAGTCAGCTCGCTCTGTGCACGCAAGGCAGCCCCAACCGAACTCCCTAGCCGAGTGTCAGAGTGCTGGCGTTTCTCCCTTTTCGTTCGACTTTCGCATGCGTAAGCCGTTTTTTTCTTCTTTATTTTTATTTAGCGATTAGGTCATGCAACAGCAGCTGCCGCCGAGGGGAGCGGAGAGCGGAGAGCGCAGAGCAAGGAAAAACGATAACAAATGCTCGGCGCTTAATCGAAGGGGGGCCCAGAGCGTTTTCCATTTTCCGGCTTCGGTTTTCTGCTGCTGCAGTTTTTATGAATGGAATGGAAGTTGCAGCGCTATTACTTCCACAGCCCGAACCGCACCCCACGCCCTTCTGCTGGCCAACTAGCCGGTTGTTGTTTGCATTGGCCATCGAAACCAGTCGGAAGGTAAGTAGGTGTCGGTCGCATACTAACCGCTGAGCGCTAAGCGCTAAGCCCAACCGAACTCAACTGAGCTGAGCGCTAAGCGTCAAGTGGCTGTACAGTGGGTACTCGCTTTAGACGATAATTGGGTTGCAAAAGAAGATATCTTAGTGGTAGTACCTTTCCCCTCATCTATGGGTAAGCAATGAGCTTATTTCATGTGACTTTAGATCAATATTTTTAAATGATTTCTTTTTTGGGATAATCACATTGTTTAAAATATCATAACTAAGCCAAAAATGCATTAATTTCAATTCGGAAAGCTGCCCCATGCCAGGTTTTGTTAGGTTAATAAATCTGCATACTACATTTAAAATGTAAAAAAAATGTCGATTTTTGACCATTTTAACAATGTAACCCCTTATAAAATTTGAAAAAAATTGGTAAAAATTTTGTTCTGCCTGAGATAGCTAGATTGATGCGGCTGGTCATGCTGATCAAGAATATATATGATTTATAGGGTCGGAAATGACTCCTTCACCAGAAAAAATAGTGAAAGATACAATGAGGAAACCAAATAACCTAAAGAAAAACAATTCTAAGCAATAATCTCGAAGAACTTCCCACCGTTACCCCTCTGCTTCTACGCTACGTTCACTCCATCGAGCTTCTACTGTAACTGCTTTGGCAGAGCGGATGAAACAGTGGGAGCGGCATTACCTCAGCGCACCATTTTGGCAAAGAGAGTAGGTGGTGGTGATGCCGTGCCGCTATCCCCGCTCGCTCTAGTCCCCTCCGTTTGCTTCTGCCAACGCTGGAATGTTAATGAGCGCGCTATTTAGCCGTGTTTTCTCAAGTATGAGCCGCATATTTACGTTCGCTAGTAGCCCTGCTGGCCATCTAAAAAAGCATAAAGAGCATACAGCTCTGCTCACCTGTCGTATTTCCTGTGTTTCGACATCCATGCTGGGGATTTTCCTGCGACGGATGGGTGACAACCACTACTACTCCGGACGACACTCCGGCTCTCCGACGCCCGACGCCACTTCGCTCCTAGCTTTCCGCACTTTTCCGCACTCTTCTTTTGCGTTTTCTGCACACACTGGCTTTTCTTGGCCTTTCCTTTTCGTTTTCCTTGCTTATTCCAAGTGAGTGAGTGCGAGTGTGTGTGACGACGCCTCTGCCTTTAGGGGGTTTTCACTTCGAGCCTGCGAAAAACAGCGGCAAAACACACGGGAGAAAAAACACGATTGGCACTTTTGCAAACAACTTTGGAAATCGAAAAGAATTAATTGCGCACACGCATGGGCAGCGTCAGCGGCAGCGTCTATTTTGGCCAGCAAAAAGAGAGGGGAAACGAGAGGAGGAAAAGCCTAAGGAAAATGTGAATCATTCATGTTGGGGGGCCATGGGCGGTGGGCGGGGGCGGGGCCTGCAGTCGACAATATCAGAGCACTTTACAGTTAGGTGCTGCTGCTGCTGGTGTTCACAGTTTTTTTTGTCGATGCTGTGCTGCCATCAGCTGTTGCGATTTGTCCGTCTGGTCGATGCACAAACGCACTTTCGGCCCCCCCAACGGCGCCATCCGCCCGCCCGGTGCATAATTAGTTGACTTGCAGTCGGGAAAACACCGCAGTTTCTCAGCTTTTCCTTCGACAGCCCCGACTAATAAATGAAAACATTTTCCTTTTGCTGCTGTTCGCCCCACTGCTGTTTGCCTCTCTTTCTTGCACTATGCTGCTTGCCAGACACTGTTACTGTCGTGCTCTTCGCTCTCACGGGAGGGCGAGTGATGACCGAAAAAGCTGTGTGTATGTGTGGTGGTGCCCGAGTGTGTGTGAGTGTAAGCCTACGCACATTTGGGCTTGATTTTGCACTGATTTGCCGCACCGACACCGTTCGCATGCATTTCACACGGTTCGCGCTCGACTCCGCTGCATTTTTCCCGAAATTTAATACTACAAATTGGTTTTAAAACGAAGAAATCACGAACAACGATCTGCTCCAATCTTAAAAATTTTCGAGTGTGACCGTCGCGCGACTGTTGGAATAAACCCAAAATATGGAAATAGTCTGGCAACGCTGAACAAGCACACTAGCATATCGGCCTATCGATGTTTGGATTTTTGCACTATCGATTATTTTTTTTGGCTTGTAAACACCACACTCAGAGAAATACTTTCTAGATTTAAGAAAAGTTGCCCTTATAAATAATAGCGGTTAAACTTACTTTAAATTTTCATAAATTTTGGGAAAGGCACCATAAAATCAAGATAAGCCACCATAAACACAATTTTTAGGGCTTATTTACATATTTTTCTTAAATCTAGGGCTATTTTTCCTGATTGTGTTCGTTAAACTTCCTTCTTAATATACGGGCGATTTCCCCTATTTTTGCATGAGGTGCCAACTCTTAGATAAGTACAGGTACATATGTATGAACTATTATAGAATTAGCTAGTGTCTACAGTCTAATTTAGGAAAATTTCCCTTAAATTTAAAAAAAAAAAAACAATTAATTAAAAAATTTGTCAAACCAAAATTTTATATTTAAGATTATGCTATGGTCATATACCGTTAAGAGGATGAACAAAATTCCCTTACTTTAATGGTTACTTGCCCTAAAGTAATTATATATTTTTATTAAATAAACAAAAAATGCCCTTGAATTTAGAAAAAATTATCATTTTAATATCAAATAATAAAAAAACTAAGAAAAATCTTACTAAATGTAAGATAAATTTACCTTTAATTTTAGAAAAGTTTTTCCCATGTTTAGGGCAAGACGCCCTAAAAACAATGCATTTTATCTATGTACATCTCAGAAATATCGCTTTAGATTTGAGAAAGTTTCATTCCTGATTTTAGGGGAAATTTTTCTCATATTTGGGGCGACTTGCCTTTGGATACATTTTAATGGCAAATTTCTAAATTTACGGGCGAAAAGTTGCTTTTAAATGGTGATTTCAGGTTAAAATTTTTATGAGTGCACTCTTAAATGTTTCTATTTATCCATTTCTTCAACCGATTTTGTAATCGACTAGTTTGTTTGCCCAAGTTGGTATCGGTTATCGGTGTCTGCATCCCCGCTTCCCGCAGGCCCATAAGGCCATTATTTATCGAGTTTCATCCGCAGCCACAGTGCAAAATAGGTTTATCAGTTAAATTTAAGTGTAAAAATAGTTGTAAAGTGTTTTAAGTTGCGTCCGTGACCGTGGTACATGCACCCGCGACCGCCCCGCCCGGCTGTGCCCGCCGCTCCGCTGACCGTGTGAAGTTTTCCTCGTTCCGTTGGTGTGATTTTACCGTGTGTCTCGAGTCTCTTCTTCGCCGCGAGAGAAAAGAAAAAGAAGAGAAAGGTGAGTGCATGCAGAGATCGCGTTGTGCGCTGCGTGGTTATGCCACTCGGCGTGGTCTTGGATCTGTTCTGGCAGAGGCGTCGTGGCCGAGGGGCCTGCGAGTGTGTGCACACAGTCCGGGTCCTTGGACGGAGAGAGGACAAGAGGTTCAATGGACGGGAACTGCAGCTGCAGTTTATCCAATTTCAGTTGAAGAAGAGGCCCGACCGGACCTCAGACACGAATGGCAGCCAAAACAACCCGTAACGCGCAAGAACCAGAAAAGTGCAACAAGGAGTGGCAGCGGTGGTTGCTACCGCTTCTCCTCTACCTCCTCAACTTCTCCTCGTTGCCCTTTCTGTGTGGTGCCTGCGCCTGTCACGATTTGATTTAGGCCCGTTGTTGTCGTCGCCTCCGTTGCATTTGCATGCGCCGCTGCATGCTGCAGTTGTTGCAAGTTGTTTATGCCGCTCCTCGCACAATCGCCGCCAGACAAAGAGACACCTCCAGGGCCTTTGTGCCGTCAAACGAAAACATTGCTTAACTCACTCGGCTCCCCCTCTCACTCTTCTTTCAGCTCCTTGCAGCTGCAATTGAAGAATAAACGAGCATTAGGCACCAGGATTCCAGCGAAATGCAGCACAACGTTCATGCCGCCCGGCCAGCGCCTCACATCCGGGCTGCCCACCATCATAGCCACAGTCACAACCATGGCCACATGCAGATGCATCCGGGAATGGAGCAGCACCTCGGCCCCGGCCTGCAGCAGCAACAGCAGCCGCCGCCGCCGCAGCAACAGCCTCCGCATCGGGAGCATCTTCATGCACGGTATGAATAAGGGTGAAATGGGATCATAGTGCGATCTGAGGAATGAGATTAGGGCCGACTTTAAGAGTGAATCTCTCTCTTAAAGAAAGTTAAAACAACCGTCTCCGGCTTTTACCGCACTAACTAGGATATTCCACATTATTTATTGTGTTTAGTTTCAAGGAGATATGTTTTCCAAGTTAGATTTAGCTTAATTCGAAAAGATTCCAACCTCCTTGTTTTCCGAAAAGGGCTTAAAGATCTGTGGAAAGTCTAAGATTATAATTTCTAGAATTCTTTGCCTTAGTTGGCTCTGAGTTGTGAGGTTAATGTATCCTCCTGCCTCAGTTTGAACTCGCAAAAGAGAGAGAAACCTTCCCCGGATGACACAGTTCCTTTGCAAAACGGAAACATTTTCCCGTCTTGGTAATAGGATACCTCCAAACGAAGAGCACTTGGTGTGCCTTGAAGGATAATCTCGTTAGGAGAATAGAAACCTCAATTTGGATCTCAAGCCGGGCGTGCGATCTCTCTCTCTCTCTCCCGGTGATCCAACGAAGATTCCTGGGATCTCAGAGAGAGAGATCGCCTTTGGGTCCGTCGCCAGCTTGTCTGCGCTTTATGCGTTGCGGCAATTATGTTAATTCCTGTCACTGACAATCGGTGTGAGACTCATCATCCCATTTTCTCAACTCATAAATTATAATTTCAGTGGCTCTTTGTTCTTTCGCGCTCAGCATGACTTCCGCTGGATAACGGGTTTGCCCCGGCTGCAATTATCCTTGACGTTCCTCGAGCGAGCCTTGCTCGATTTCAGGCTCCTCTCCATCATCATATGTTTTTGCCCGCAGTGAACTTTTCAACCCGCTCCGCCTTCAGTCGCTTCCTGCCTGCCACTCGCATCGGTTCGGTTCGTAAAGGGATCGCTTATGAGTTAAACTTGATCGCAGTTTTGTCTAACGTACTTTTACGTACGCATTTTCGTGACGATCATGAAATTCTATCATCAGTGCCAAGTGAGAGGTGAAATATGCTGGAGTTTGTAGCTTTAAATGGTTAGGAAGTGATGGGGAATAAAGGTTTTAAAGGGACTGCATCCCTCTGCTTCATGTAAATCATTGGAGTTGAGTTAATACATAAGAGAAATGATTATAGAACCACAGGAAAGGTATCTGGAATGTGATTTCAAGACTCACTGATTTCTTGGTTTGAGGTAATCCTGTTTCGATCTTGGAAGAAAGTATAATATATGTATATACATATATATGCTTTAGATAATGTATAGTGTAAAGTTTAAATATCTTTAATAGTTTGGGGAATAAACTAATAAGATTGTGATGTAAACAGAAGTGAAATAATGAAAAAATCAACTTAAAAACCATAAGAACATTTTACAACCGAATAGAAAGTGAGAACACTTATTAAAGAGTTTAACCCCTTTTATTAACAATCCACATTATCGAATTGATAAGAGATTCCCTGCCTTGGGTTAGGATATCTCTATCCCAATGCTTTCATATACTTCCTGCACAGATCCTAATCACAAATTGCCCATATCAATGTTAATTTGAAGGCTCGTTGCCCGAACGAACGAACTGATTTGGCGATTATAAATTGCCGAAAATATTTCTTGGTCTTGTGAAATGCAGGACAAGGCGGAGGTAGCAGTGTATAGGTACTGAGTATGTGTTGTCCTACCCTCCAGGGAAGGGGCTGGGGTGTCGCAGTAGGTGCGTCTCAATTGAAACTGACAGTTGGCGAAAAATGACACGATGCGTAAGAGAATGCGGCTTTTGTGCTTTGTTGAGGATTTCTACCATTGTTCGTCCTCGCCGCTGTTGTCTGCGATTCCGCAGGCACAACATCTGAGGCAGAAGAGCGAGGGGAGGGAGGAATAGGGGTTGGGGTCGGGGTCGGGGTAGCGGTAGTGGCAGCGGTAGGGGAGGAGCTTCAGGAGAAGTTTTGTTTTTCCCAATGTACACTTTTGTCTCGCAGATTGAACATGGCCTCTATAATCCTCTTGGTGTGCATTGTTTGCTGATCTAACCGCAAAAGCCAGCGCATCCGCCCCGGGAGCTTATTCCATCGATTAACCAATTGGCCTGCTCTCTCATCCTCTCCTCTCCCGCAGCCTGAATCATCACCATCTCCACGCCCAACAGCAGCAGCAACAGCAGCAGACGCCGTCGAATCCCGCCGCCGTTGCTGCTGGAGCTGCCTATCACGGCAACAGCGCTAGCAACAGCAACCAGATGCAGAAGATCCGCCAGCAGCATCAGCACCTGAGCAGCAGCAACAGCCACCAGCATCAGGCGCCGCCTCCCGGGCCGCCGCCACAGGCCTACAGTCCGGCCGCCTTGGCCTACAACCAGCTCCCTCCGCATCCGCCGCCGCCGCATCACATGGCCGCCCATCTGGGCAGCTATGCCGCTCCCCCGCCTCACTACTACATGAGCCAGGCGAAGCCCTCGAAGTACAACCACTACAACAGCAATGGCAGCACTAACAGCAGCAACAATAACAGCAGCAGCAACTACGCCCCGAAGGCCATACTGCAGAACACGTACAGGAACCAGAAGGTGGTGGCTCCAGCAGTGGTGCCAGCAGAAGTGCCCGAGGTTTCCGAGCAGCCACCACTGGCGACCAACACTAATAGCAACAGCAGCAGCAGCAGTAACAACATAGTCAAAGCCAGCGAACCAGAGGATAGCTCTCAGGAGCAGGAGTCTACGGTAGAGCCAGCTCCCTCCGTGGACGATTGCAGCAGCAGCAGCGAGCACATCGATGCCGCTGGTACGCTGCCCAATGAGGACACCAGCAGCTCGGGTCGCGGCGGCGGCAAGGATAAGACTCCCATGTGTCTGGTCAATGAGCTGGCCAGGTACAACAAGATCACCCATCAGTATCGGCTGACCGGTGAGCGAGGACCGGCCCACTGCAAAACCTTCACGGTCACCCTGAAGCTGGGCGAGGAGGAGTACTCGGCGGACGGGTTCAAGATCAAGAAGGCGCAGCATTTGGCCGCCAGCAAAGCCATCGAGGATACGAAGTACAAGCATCCGCCGCCAAAGATTCGGCGCAACGATGAGGGTGGGCCAATGCGCACGCACATTACGCCGACGGTGGAACTGAATGCCCTGGCCATGAAACTGGGACAGCGCACGTTCTACCTGCTGGATCCCACGCAGATTCCACCGGCGGAACCCATGCTGCCGGACTATGGCGGTGCTCCGATGCTAACGGCGCCCTCTGGTCCGGGAATGCCGCCTCAACCTCCGCCACCTGCGTATGCTTTGCGGCAAAGGCATGGCAATGGATTCGTTCCTATTCCTTCGCCGCCAATGCATCCGCATGGCTTCTATCATGGCCCCGGGCAGCGACCCTTTCCCCCGAAGTTCCCATCACGGTTTGCACTTCCTCCACCGCTCGGACCGCATGTCATGCATGGACCCAATGGTCCCTACGCCTCTGTGCCAACGGCGCCCAGCAAGATCACCTTGTTTGTGGGCAAGCAGAAGTTTGTGGGCATCGGGCGAACCCTGCAACAGGCCAAGCATGATGCAGCGGCCAGAGCCTTGCAAGTTCTGAAGACCCAGGCCATTTCTGCCTCAGAGGAGGCTCTGGAGGACTCGATGGACGAGGGTGACAAGAAGTCGCCCATCTCACAGGTCCACGAGATCGGAATCAAGCGGAACATGACGGTACACTTCAAGGTGTTGCGCGAGGAGGGACCTGCTCACATGAAGAACTTCATTACGGCCTGCATCGTGGGCTCCATTGTCACCGAGGGCGAGGGCAACGGCAAAAAGGTATCGAAGAAGCGCGCCGCCGAAAAGATGCTCGTAGAGCTGCAGAAGCTGCCACCTCTCACGCCCACCAAACAGACGCCTCTGAAGCGGATCAAGGTGAAAACACCGGGTAAAAATGCAGGAGCAGCCCCGGGTGCAGCGGTTGTGCCAGGCGGCGACGGTGTTACACCTGCGGGCAAGCCAGAGAGACGTAAACGGCCCAATGTGACCGTGAAGGAGAAGATCATAGAGCCAGACGATGCCGAGAATCCCATCACGAAGCTTATCCAGCTGCAGCAAACGCGCAAGGAAAAGGAGCCCATCTTCGAACTGATAGCCAAGAATGGCAACGAGAGCGCCAGGCGGCGGGAATTCGTAATGGAGGTTTCCGCCAGCGGCAGCACGGCGCGCGGAACAGGCAACAGCAAGAAGCTGGCTAAGAGGAATGCGGCTCAGGGTAAGCTTCAAGGTTTTGATTTTAACACCCGGAAAGCTTTTAACATCAAATTATATTTCTTAGCTCTCTTTGAACAACTGGAGGCCATAGACTTTACGCCCAGCAATGAAACGCAGGGATTGGGCGAAAGTAGCAGCTCAGCCACAGTCTCGGCAGTCACAGCCCCCACAGTGGAGTCAACAACTGAAGGTGACGTGCCTATGGTGTCCACGCCAGTGGGTCCTATGCCGGGCATACTGATTCTTCGGCAAAACAAGAAACGTGAGTTACTGCCTTTATTAATCGTAATATATATGCTTACATATATGTCTCTTACAGCGGCGAAAAAGCGGGATCAAGTGGTGGTTGTCAAGGCCAATGCGGATGCCAAAGAGGAGGAGGTACCTACGGATGCCCCAGTTGCAGCTGCAGCTGAGGAGGAGCATAAGAGCAGCAGTGGCAATACGGGCAACACCAGCAGCAGTAGCAGCGATACCCAATCCACGGAGGCGGCCAGTGAGAGTGCGCTGAACACCTCCAGTGGCAGTAACACAAGCGGAGTGAGCAGCAACAGTAGCAGCAGCAGCAGCAGCAGTAACAACAATAGCAACTCAAATAGCAATAGCAGCAGCCAAGGTGCGGGAGTGCACATGAAGGAGCAGCTGCTGTACCTTAGCAAACTGCTGGACTTTGAGGTGAGTTGAGAGAGAGGCTTACCAGATCTCCAGTTACTCTAACAAATTTTCCATTCCAGGTCAACTTCTCAGACTATCCGAAGGGCAATCACAATGAGTTCCTGACTATTGTCACTCTGTCCACGAATCCGCCACAGATCTGTCATGGCGTGGGCAAGAGCTCCGAGGAGTCGCAGAACGATGCCGCACGAAATGCACTGAAAATCCTCAGTGAACTGGGACTCAACAATGCCAAGAAATAGGCGAGTTCAAACAGTTTTCTTTACAAATTACATACCCGTCCACAAAAAAGAAACCTTAAACAAAATCCAAAAAACCCCAAGCTAGGTGCAAATTCGAAAGGGAAAATGAGAAAAAGAGAAAAGGAAGTACGGTGAACAATGCAAGAAACAGTGAAATAGCAAATTATTAGTTAATACCTATTTATTTATTTATGTGCAAGTTGTGCCAACTGCTGGTGTTATTATTTTATTTATTTTTGTTGTTGAGAATTGGTTAACTAAGCGAACGAACTGAACTGCAACCGAAAGTGAACACGAATACTGGACAGAGCCGGAGGAGTGGATGTTAGCCATGTTGAGAGAGGAGGAGAATCGAACAATAACTAGCCTTAAAGAGACCCGCAACACAAAACGATGCAAGACCTTGTACTAAACTAAACTTAAGATTAAAGTTGAAACCGAAGCTGCAGCTTCGCCACTTGAATTGAATTGATGAACAAATGACTATTGATACCTCTTAGCTGCGTAGGGGCAACGCTTTCAAAAATAAATACAAAATGTAGGACAAAATTTGTGGAGAGTAGGATTAGGAGAGGCAACGACAATTTTTGATTTATTTTTCAAAGCAACAGCGAAACCATTTACCATTGTGGTCACATATGCTTGATGAAACTCGTCGAATAATGAATATCTATTATAATATTAAGTGTTAGGCGTAAGCACCGTCGTATGCCCCATGCAGGGTCCCAGTTTCCTGAGCTTCCACTAAACCTTTCAATTTGCCAAATGCCGAACGCTGAAACCTTTCGCAAATTGAATGGACTGTTTTGTGTGGAACCCGGGACAGGACATGGCATGACAGGCGTTTACACATGTGGAAACCCCACGATACATACATACATAATAAAATACAATTTACATAATCGTTATAATTATAATTATAAATGTTTAATAAGCCATTTTTGTAAATGTTCAGCTTTTGTACTACGAACAAAGGAGAGTTAAAAGCTGAACATCCTTATGAATAATGAATCGTGTTGTTTATCTGCTTTATGTTTCGTCCCCATATATCTCGATTTTTGCTTATTTGAATCCGTTTTACGTTTTACATTCTATGTCTTATTGTTAGCCACACTCACTCACTGCTATTCTTCAAAATTTCGATTACAATAGTTTTAAAGTCTTTTAGTCTTTTGCCCTTAAACAGCACCCGTTGATTAAGCGTTAAGTTGCGTTATGTAAAATGTATTTTGTCTAAGCAATCGCGTCGGCAACAATGTGCATGATCGCGCAATCTGCTTCCTATCCCTAGCCTAGCCTCTAAGCTCAAGCCCCCCGTGGCAGTGGAAGTCATACCCAGTATTAAATGTATAGATAAGGGCAACTCCAACAGCAAGATATACCCTCTATCTCAATCGCCGATTGACTCACACAGACGGACACATCGTGCACATTGTTTGCGCCACACAAATCGTTCACTTTTGTCAGAAGACTTTGCACAGATCGTAATCGTAATCGTAATTGTAGTCGTGTGCGCGGAAGTTGAGTTGCAAAGTCTTCACAAAATTGATGGAAATTATTAATCTTAAACTGAGATATATATATAAATACGTATATATGTGACAGCGAAGCGTGAAGATCTGTTCATTAACACCAAATAAAGGCATAAGAAGTCAAAGTCAGGAGAGGAGATGAGGAGAGAACACATTTATTAGTCTTAAGCCTATCCCACACAATCACTTGGTTATTTGTCTATTCTGTAACGTGACCCATGAACATGTTATGTATCGTAAAAATGAAGAACAAACTATGAAACTATATATGTAAAATGTAACAAATAAACAGTGAAATAAAGTTGAAAGTGATTGTTTTTTTTTTTTGGGGGAACATAGCCAAGACATTAAGTAAATCCTCACATCATGGTCTTTTCTAAGGACCCTCCTCGGGCGATACTCAACTTAAATATTCAAATATTCGACCAACACCTGAAAATCGTTAATCGTCATTAAAAACTATGATTTATGCGACTTTATGGCCATCATAAATTAATTTATTGAGCCAGCCTCTCGATGGCTCGGTTCCGTCCCTGCCCTGCCCTACGTTGAAAATATTTGTGGACAGGTGGTATCATATGTAATACGGCAGAAAACCCAAACAGATCCGTTACATAAAATGTCATAAAAATTAAGGGAAATTATCTATTTTCTAAATTCACGATCGGAGGGTGAGAGGGACAGGCCGGTCAGCCATAAACTTATAAATACATAAACGATTGTTAATTTGGCAAACTAAAAATCAAAACAGAAAACCCATTTCGCAATCCCGAATCACAAAACTGTAAAACGATTTAAATGCCCAAATCAGATTATGATGTGCCGACAGCTCGGTCTGACTAATCGATGACAAATCTCTATGCAAAATGAGGACTTTACACAAATAGAGTGTTTCCTTTACATCAGTAATTAAAAGGTTTGAAAGAGATTTCTCAGTTAAAAAAAATCTATTAATAGCACAAACAGAGATGTAGATTACTTAAGATTCATTTTAAATGTATATGAAACTACTTTAAAAATGAAATATTAAGTTCAGAGTTAGGTAACTGAAACGAAAAGAGATCTCTTAGCTGCAAGAACCATAACTAAAATCCTAATTTACATATTAATTAAAATTGTTTTACCCTGCTTCGATCACTTTTCCCTCGCATTAAAATTCTTCCATGGGAAAATGAGACGATTGACTGGCCTATTAAATCCGATCTTATATAGTGTGCCATGGGATAGGCCCATATCATCTCCATGTGTGATGCATCGGAGCTCCTCCACTTTCTCCTCTGGCATTTGGCTAGTTTTTGTTGGGGCAATCGGCTGCGATTAAAACAAAAAGAAGGAAATGTATAAAAATGTATATAAAAAAATAAACGTGTGGCCGGCAAATGCATAATAAATACATAAAATAAAATTAATGCTACGCTTGCACATCACCCGGCCCCGGCCTGCGGCCTGCTTCCTTCACCCAAAGTATCCACCGTAGATTCCCCTGCTTTCCGGCAAAATCAAAGCGTTTCTTGGCCAATTTACATATGCATTTCACCTGGACCGGGGTTGGAGGTGGAGGTGGAGCTGGAGCTGGAGCTGGGATGAGACTGGGCTGAGGTGGAGATGCCCGACCAGCGCAATTTTCAGCTCCACTCACCTCTCACCTCTCTGCCTGCCTGATTAATTTATGGCGCTGATAATAATCCGGCAACGCATCGTTGCCGCTCTGTAGTAGCGTGTGATTATGAAATTTGGCTTGCCAAAAGAAATCAATAATACATATGAGAGGGCATAGAGAAATGGGGACGTTGAAATAGAAACAAGAAATCCGAGATGAGTGGAAATTAACATGTGTTTGTCAGACGCCGTTTGCCGGCTCCAGCTTCCATCTCCATCTGCATATTGTATATACACATATAGTATGCTGATGTGTGATGTAATAGGCGTTTGATTATTTTGATTTTGAATTTTGGTTTTCGGTGTTTTTGGAAATTTTTCTTGGGGCTACGGAAATGTAGCTTCATTGGGCAAATTAACCGAATCAATGCAAGTAATTTGATTTAGAAATGCCATCGGCAATCAGGAGGCTTCCCGCTTACATCACTTGAGAGTTTAAACTCCTAGACACTCAGTTTTATATAAAATTGAAAGCGATATTCCAAAGAAAGTGAAACCTGCTGCTGCTGCTGCCCCTTGGTGATGTGTTAATTTTGATTTATTCGAATAATTTGGAAAACATTTTGAGTAATGTGATGTTTGACATGCGTTTAGAAGCAACGCCCAATCAGTCTTCGCCTGGGTCTGGGTCTTGGTCTTGGGAATGGTTACTCCTCTCTCGGCTTATTGGCATGCTAAGCTCACTGTTTAGGCGGAAAACAAATGATTGAAGCCACCTAATGATGATTACCGCTCCACTGGGCCTCCACTGGAGTAACTGGTCACTGGTCACCAGTGGTCACCAGTTGCGTGCTCCCGCGAGTCGAAAATTTGTGTATGAATGCGAATGAATGCGGCTCGTAATCAAATTAAACTAGCGATGAATGAACGGATGGATTAGCTCTGATTGAAGCCTTCCTCTTGGGTCTTAATGCCAACGGATTTGCATATAATTAGCGTCGGATGGAGAGAAAAACTCTAGCAAAAGATGGGGTGTCTTGGAAAGTTATAGATTCAGTGAACACAATAACTCTATAAAATTAAGACCATTTCTGAGGAAGTCAAGGATCCTTTGAGGATCATATGACATTTTACAATTATGTTACTCTTGATCAAATATATCCTTTAGTTATTTTCTTTTCATGCCTAAAATTTAAAACTAAGACAAAGCTAACTTACTGAGTATCTTAAACTAATGAACCCCTGAAATTGAAACTATTTGTTGAAAAGTTTCCTCTGTCTTGGCGATGTTCTTGGCCATTTTGGGGTTGGCAAATTCGGTTTTAATAATAGTTTAGCCGGCAAATTTTTTCTTGACAGCCACGATAACCCGCAATTAAAGCCAGGCTAGAAAAAAACAAAAAAAAAGATGATGATGCGAACTCAATAATTTACCAAGACACGTGCAGGAAGTATAGACGCGTCGTCTGAGCCCGCATAGGCCGCAGGTTAAATAGGAGTTTATATAGTAAGCCCCTTATAGTGGAGCAAGATGAATGGCTCTGCGATTGGATTACTTAATTTGTGAAAGAAAAACACTTGCCAGCACAGCAGCGGCACAAAGGAAACACACACTTTGGAGCGGGTCCGCAGACAAATTGTTTGGCTCATTTATTATTCGGAATAATTGAAATCGAAGTGGAGGAATTCGCCAGGTGATTACCATGATTGCCTCCCGCTCCGAGCTCCTCGAGAATCTATTCAAAACACCAGGCAGAGGCGAGTCAATCATCGACAATTGAATTCTAAAAGCCATTGCATATTGATGATCCGTGATGGACTCGTAGGTGGTAGTTTGCATAAAATCGAATGGGATTGTGCGTTGTCGGTGGAAGAATATACATTTGTATATAAATAAATATGATTAGTCAAATTGATCGATGTGTCCGGCGTTTGCCTTTATTCGCTTTTATTTGACTATTTGTTTGCTTTTTGTCTGTGTTTCAGCGGATTTGTCAAAAGTAACTAATTTGCCAATGAAAGAAAACATATAAAGTGTCATGTTTAGAGATAACACACAGTCAAAAGGCTTAGAAAAGATTGAAAAATTGAAGAGGGGTGTTAGGAGCACCGAGGTGGGATATACTCTAGGTGCGTTCCTTCTTTGAAGTATTTACGTATATAATTCAAACCCCTTGATCAGGATCATAAGAATCCCTCAAAACCCTTTAAAAATATTATTATTCCTTCCGAAATTCGTTGTCAAGGTTACATATTTTATTGATTCTTTTATAAACTATCTGGAAAATATACTTAAGAACTGTTCGAACAACCCCTGTGCAGGGTATACATCTTAGCCTAGGCAACCACACAAATATCTAATGGCCAAAAAGCCGGACAAAGCGGTAATGACGGGTGATATGGGCAAAACTGAAGCGTGCATAATTAAAACGTTGTCTCTGACCCCTCCACTTTGGACCTGCAGCATTCCCAATTCCCTTTCCCACTCCCATTGGCTGTCTTGTTAAACTTTTATTAATGCCTGCAAATCTTATGCAATGGAGTGGAAAGGTGGTCTAATCATTCCGGAAAAAGTCCTCTATAACCGATTGCGGCGCCCAGTCACCAAAGAGAGCATTGCCCATGTCGAGGAACGCCTTAAAGAAAGCCGTATAGTTGGTATTGGGTCTGTCCAGGTCCACATCGGGTTCGGATATGGCCACCGCACTGGAGAGCTCCGGCACGATCATGGCAGCGATCAGAGCTGCAAAAATAAAGGTGACTGCTGTCGAAGCGGCAAGCATTTCCACTGGCTTTCAACTGATGTTGGGTTGCATCACCAGTTGCACTTTTATATATACAGGGATGAGGCACTTGCTGGTGCACTGAAAGTTGCCTGACCCAATTACCAATGTTGCCACAGTTGTGGCTGGAAAGTACACAAGTAAAGCCACACAGAAAATAATTGGGATGATCCTTTGTAATAAATTTTCTTTATTTTATTTTTAAATAGGAACGAGATTGAAGTTTGCAGATTTTACAGGTACAGTTACCAAAGTTTTTAGAAATAATCCCACAAATCTTTCCCACTTGACTTTAGCTGCCTTACTTTTTACAAATATCAAAGGTAATTTTATAGAGGCAAGAATATATATATAAACACATAATATCAGGTGCAAAAAAATGTTGTATGTTTTCCTTTTCTTGTGTGCATTCATGGCAAATATTTGGCCACTTGTTCGACACGTTTATCGGCAAATAAAAATATATACATATAAAAAAACATGGGAAAATAAAAAACATTTAAGCGGATCAGGGGCAGATACACACTGTGGTGGAAAACAATATTTCAGCTTGTCCGCTTGTTGGATGGCGCTCAAAATAAAATTCCAATTTGTAGAACGCGCATGCGTGGATCCGCGCAGATTCACTCCACTCACATGACACCGCCAACGCCGTGGCCATCCATCAATCATCTGGGCAAAAGAGCCACCGGAGAGCCAAAACGCGCCTCAAGTGCAGCTGCTTAGCAGCGCTTAATGTTAATTGATCGAGCTTTTGTTTAATTAAAATTTTAGATTTGGGTCACACGATACTCAAACGCGGTCTTAGGTTCGAAATATGTATGCGGAAGTCAGGCCCCTTCCTTCTTTACCACAATAATTATGTATATGGCGTCCCCTATATACCCATTAACCTCAGCAGCTTCGCCACATAAACTCGGACTTATTCGATATAAATTATGGAAGGAATCTCAACCCGATTTGCCGCATTTTTTTGTTGGGCCCGTGTGAAAACCGAGACTGAAACCGAATGAAAACGAAAGCGATTTTAGTTTTTTAACAGTGAAAGCCCCGAGAAGAAGAACTTTGGGGATAGGGAAAAGACTGGTTTTATAATGGGGAATGGTCTTAATGTTAGAGCATCAGAAGCAAGGCCAATTTTATGGTAGATTATATGGTATTATGTAAGCTTTTAAATGCAGAAAAAATAGGAACCCATTTAAAAAGTGTGCCAACTAGAGATCAAGGTCTTTGTAAGTAGTATCAATAACTAATTAATCACAAAGTCAAGAAATTGTTTAACTAAGAGATATGAGATTGTTGATAATTAATTATACAGAGATGATAGTAGTTGGGAGTCAAGTTAAGTATTGTTTGTGTTTAATCCGTGCCTCTATTTTATTATTTACTTTGAAAGTATAGCCAAGATTATATCTAAGAACAGATTCTCCGCCTTTATCTTCTTACCAACTTTAACTTTTACTTACAATAATCTAATAATTATTCTTTCCTTCCAATAAATAATATATATTTTAAATATAAACTTAAATCTATACAAGATATTGCCTATTAACATTGAGTTTTCACTGTTGTCCAATTTCCCATCATTATACACGCCCTTTAGGAAGATGGTTGACAGTAGTAGGGTCTTTTGGGGCCCTTCTTTCGAAGTTTCTTTTGGTTTTTATGGACTCCAACTGTTACTGTTATGTATCTTAAGCAGCAGCAGGTTGTCACCGGTTTCCCAGCAGCATCATCAACATCATCATCATCATCATCATCATCATCTTCATCATACGCAATCGATGGGGCTTTTGTTGCTTCTTCAACGCATATTTCGGGGCTTTTGGCTTCAGAGTCGGAATGTCTGGCTCACTCTGGCTCTGCTGCTGCTTGGGATGCTGCTTCTGCTGCTGGCCGAAATCATTTTTGGCCAAAATATTTCGATTACCTTTGGATAGCCGAAGTTCAGTTCAAGTTCGCGCCTCGAACGGTTCAGTTTGCCTTGGTCAGTCGCCTCGCACCCGGCTCCTTATTCGAGTGATCCTTTGCTAGGCAGGATTATGCTCTAGTGTGCTCTTGTGTTACCTAACTTATTGCTGTGTGTCCCACAAAAAGTTAAAAAAAAGAAAGAAATAATACTAAAAAGGTGAAACGACGCAGAAACAAATTAATTTTCGGTCCAGTTAAATCATTAAATCGGAGATATATAAGGTAATAATGTGACTGCATGGCGAACAAAAACACACGGGGATAATAATCCGACAAAATAAGAACAATATAAATATGTACTCATTAAAAAGCTGAGTATGACAAATGTCACACTCCCACACATAGAAGATGAGTGTGTGTGTTTTCCCAAAATATATATTAAGTTCTTCGAGATTAATCAGAATGTGGAAGCAAACGAAAAATTCAAATTGAAATGAAAAGAAATGAAGATAATATGGGAACGGTTTTAGTAATAAATATCTGTGATTTAATGGGAATTCAAGGATGTTTTTAAAGAAAGATTTTAATCAAATTATGGGAAATAAAGGTTTTTCAATATCTAAAATCTCAGATTAAAGGGGAATTTTAAGAAATCTCAAAAGCTAGAAATATATTTTAAAGTTATTCAATTGAAGGTTTAATGTTGTCCCTATGGGGTAATATTGCAAAAATGTAAAGGATAAATAAATGTTTATAATAAATTGGATTTTCCATATTTTTAATAAACAAAGTCAAAATCTAATCTTTAAAAATGATCCCTCTCATTATATTTGATTGATCTTCTTAGCTGGCAAACAACGTTGTCTATATTTTATATAAATAGTTGATTGATTTCTTAGTGACACAATTAAATTAAATAATTTATTTATTTGCTTTAATCTTCTTTGTATTATTAATTATTTCAAATCATAATTCCTTGTGAAGCATATTTCTTATAACTCAACTCTTCACGGATGCAATAATAATGTTGGCAAATCCGTAAGTGATATGTTTACATAGCAAACTTCTGAGGCACTCGACTCGCAATTGCTATACGGATATAGAATCGGCAAATCATGGAAGATCTCCCCGAGAAGTCCGAGTAGACAGGCTTAAGTGGCTCAACTCTCGGCTTGTTGGGTTACGCACTCGATTTACGTCATCTGACCATAAAAACCGAAACAGAAATTCCAAAAGATGCGGGCTCTACTTGAGAGCTGTCGGCAAACTGTTTGGCCGGAGATCGTGAGAAGAAGCCCCAGAGATCCGAGATGATCCTTCTAAAAATATACTGACATGCAGGCCCCCAGACCTACCCGAACCGACCCATCCCTGTGTGCCAATCATCAATCCCGCTGGATGACACTCGAGGCTCACGGGGATTGGTCGGCGCCAAAGCCAGAGATTCGCTATAATTAAATATCTAACCCGTTCTTGTGATATCTTTAGAAGATTTATGGTTCACTCCGTCTCGGAAACGTGCTGCCAATTAATTTGCACCGAGCTCTCGGTTCGGCGATCATAAAAAGTAATGATCGAGGGAGGCATTGGAGTTACAGCAGAGACTACCTATAAATACAATAATTTTTGGTAAACCGCCGCCACCTCATTGAAAATGCCTCTTGATGGGTCGGTCTATGACTATCCATTCTCTTTTATTACTTTATTTTCAATGCAAAGCCCCTGTTAACTGAGTTTTCCTTCCCCATTCTTGTTGGCTTCTTCCTAATCATCATTTGTCTGCCCAGCATTGTTTTTCAATGTTTTGATGGATCATTGAGAAACAATGAGAAGTAAAACATATTTCCAAGCCAAGAATGTGCTTCCTCGTTGTCTGGTTGTTTTGATATGGATTTTCAGTTGATGCTGCTGATGCTCTGCTCTTGATATTGACCCTGAATGTGTCGAATTGTAAATGGTGGCTGTAATGCCAAGACTGGAGGCATCATCATCCACGATGAGTACTGCTTGTGAGGAGGTCATTTTCCCTTACCATTTTCCACAGAGCATTTGCATATTGTGGCATCTTGTGTGAAGTGCTGGCCAACGGCCAACTGCCAACGGCTTCTGGCCAAAGAAGAGATCATTAAAATTCAATTAGATGTCGCTTAGATAGTCATTATAGAACGGCGGCTTACAGTTTGTTGACTTGCGGGAAGGTTGTTGACTGTTTGTTGAGACTGCCAGGGAATGCAATTATTTTGAGATGTAACTATGATTGTTACATCACCTACATCGGTCTTATATAAACGATGATAACTCTATCATGACAATGGGCATATTTTTAGCAGCCGCTATGCGTTTTCTATTATATTTTGACACTAACATTGTCTGGTTACTTTTAATTGCTGTATTTTCTTCATAACATGTGTGACCGTCCTATTTGTACTTATACTAAAAACCTTCAAAGAAAGCCATCTCCTATCTAGTGTCATAACACCATCAAGAGTGAATTGTTTTCATTGAACAGCCAAGTGCCCCAGTGTCTGAGTGCCTCTTTCGCTTTTCGCTTACTTCCTTACACAACAAATCGGCAATGCGAGCAATTAAAGGCAATAATTCAGGGTGAAGATGGACCGTGTCGAGAGTTCGTTGCCTAAGTCTTTCGTTTTAATTTGCATGAAATATGAAAATCAGTCTGTATCCGCCGAATCGGCCGCTGTCAGCACGTATCATTTGGAAAACATAATAGCGGCAAATGACCTCAGCAGCATCTCTCAGGCTGATAGGGGATCCGAGATCTGAGATCCATCGAGAATTGATTGCTCAAGTGTTTAACTGGAAGCTGTATCCATCCGAACACTTGATTTTCTGTTTGTGGTTTTTTCTGTAGCTGGATTCGATTCGGAATTAGCCACATTCTAATAAGGCTCAAAGAGTGTGATTAATAATCGCTGCCCGCTGCTGCTGCTCATCAATTTTAAGACAAAGCCCAGTGATTAATGGTTGTTGGGGGCAATCAAACGCCATTATAAGGCACTTGGCATCGGAATCGATATTGATCGCAGATCTAGATCAAATATTTCAGGGTCACCTCCAAGAGAGCTGCCTCCTTTTATTACCATCAATAAGAAGTGCAAGAGATAAGCCCAATCGAATTTTTTAACTGCCATTTGATGGACACGCTCGGCCGTAAAAGGCCCGATCTGTCTACACACTCGACCCCACGCAAAAATATATCCGGAGTGAACAGTGCTGCAGAAAAGTCACCGTTCGCTGTAAAAGGCATTTGTTTGGGCCACATAAATCAGTGAGTCGTTTCGGTTACGTGAGAGAGCTGGGGCCACGCCTCGATACCACCGGAGAGAGATGTGTTTTATGCTAATTCCCAGCCCCTTACGTGTGTTTCCGCCGCATTTGTATGCAAATGGGCCAAAACTCACATTTTAATCAATGAGTTCGGGTCGGAATTGCGGTTTATTAATCAGCCTAATGAATAAAGTATTGCCAAGCGCCGTTCGTTCACAAGATGTCACAATTAATACAGATATTTTTCACTCCGTCCCAGCAGCAGCAGCATGTGGCCACCCAGTTCCAGCCTGTGGCTGGTCCTCGTACTCCTGGCCGGCTTAGCCAAGGGTCAAAGCAACAGTCGTGAGCGCTTTGAGGATGCGGACAAGTCCAGCGAGTATACGGATCAGCAGTTTGACCTACGGCACACCATACCCGGCGAGCCAGGCTTGGACTATCCCATCCTGAGTGCCCCGCCCAAGACCAGCTTTGTGTGCAAGGGAAGACATGAAGGTAAAGAATCTTGGGATAATAGGTTACCTAACTTTAGCCTAAATATATATCTCCTTAGGATACTATGCCGATGTGGAGAGTCGTTGCCAGGCCTTCCGCATATGCGCCCACACCGCTCGCTCCCCTCAGGGTTTTGGCTTCCTCTGCCCCAATGGCACTCTCTTCAGCCAGAAGAACTTTGTCTGCGATTGGTATCGCAATGTGAATTGCGATGAGTCCGAGAGATACTACGAAATGAACGAGGAGAAGATCGTGGGCAGCACCCACGAGATGATGGAGCGCGTGCGCCACATGATGGAATATCCCATGAAGACCATCTCGAAGGCCCTGCAGCAGAGTCAGTCCCAGTCACAGTCGCAGAATCCACATAACCATCGCAGTCTCAGCAAGGATCTGAGTGGAGCCAGTGGAGTACTGAGTGAGCCAGCGGCAGTGATTAAGACACAGGAAAGCACCGCTTCGGTGGGTCGTGGAGAAGCCGTCAAGAGCGAGCCTCTAGGTGCTGTCAAAGTGGAGAACAACGGGGATGAGGATGAGGGCGTCTATGTCAACAGCTTGGGTGAGCTTTCCTCAGACCCGGGCATCCAGTTTGATCACACCAACGCCCATATAATAGCGGAGTACCCCAGGGAGTATCACTACCAAAAGCAGAAGAACTTTGCGGAACGTGTGAATGCCGGATTGGATGTCCTGACCGATACGGACTCCACATCCTCAGGAGAGGTAATGGCTCCAGACTACATCAAGCACCAAGTACTGAGAAATACAAAGGAGGAGGCCGTTCAACTAGATCTAGTATCGAATATCAATAATCTGCTGGACGAGGTATCCACCGATGTGGATCCCGCCGTTTCCGGTTACCAATCGATGGCTCCGCCCAAGGTCAAGCAGCCCTTCCGCTTCCTCAGTCGCGGATTTGCGATGCACGGTGAGAATGGCAAGGGAAGCAGCTCCGCCACGGGTTACGGCTATGTCAAACCCAAGCAGACGCCCAGCACTATCAGATTTACGGTGAGTTCCGCCTCTTTTACTAAACACCCATTCTTCAATCTTCTTCTATCCATTATCTTAACTCTTTGTATCTGTATCTATCTATCTTTCTATCTGTATCGCTACTCTATCAACTATCGCTTACACATGCCACAACAACCCACCACAACATTCCTCACTCAAAAACACACTCACACAGCCCAATGAGATTCCCTCTGAGGCTCACAAGTCCATTGAGCATAAACACAAGTTCTCCAAATCAAGCAGCACCACGTCCACCACGGAAGCAGCCACCGAAGCAGTCGAGGCTCTGCTCATTGCACCCACCTTGCCACCAGCAGAGGATGAGGGGGTAACCAACACTCAGGCGCCAGAGATTGCCTCCAGCACTGTCGCGGCACCTCTTACCTTGCTGGCTCCCCCACCAGAACTGGATGTCACTGCGGAGGTACCGCCAATTGAGTCCATTGGACAGGCAGCTGCCCTGACCGCCAGTCTGCCCATAAGTGAGGACCTAGCCGTGGTCCAGGAGGAAGAACAGAGTCCTAAAACGGCTGAGAAGAACGATGTCCACCAGGAGGCGGCCAAGTTGCTGCTGGCTGGAGTTCAGCTCACTTCCCACGACGAAGAGAATGCCTTGCAAACCAATGAGTTGCTGGAAAGGAGCAGTAGCAGCAGCCCAGCTCCTACTACTAGTACTAGCACCACCCAGGCCATGATTACCTCGACGGAGACAGTCACAGAGATCAGCAGCACACAGGAGAGGATTCGTGGCTACCGGAAGAATCGCCCTTCGGCCATGTTGCGTCGGGCCAATGTTCGTCCTTTGCCAATAGTGCGAACCACAACGACGTCTACTACTCAGAGGAGCACCACGCCCACCAAGAGCTATCTGGAGCGTCTGGCGGCCAGCAGGCTGCGTCTTTCAAAACTCTCTCAGGCCACCAGGAGCACCACGAAGGCCACATCTGCAGCACCCAGCACTTCCACCACTCCGGCGGCTTCGATGCCAACGACTACGGTGTCCTCCTTCTCGCAAGTTCGTAGCGGGGCAGAGCCCGGTCCCAACAAGAAACTGACAGTGCGCGACATCGATCGGGAGACCAAGATAGCGCCGACCAGCAAGGCTAGCTGGGAGAGTGTCCACAGCAACCTGCAGCGTTTCCAGGTGCAGCGCGGCAATCGTGTATACACGCCGGCAACCAGGGCCTCGGCCTCCACCAGCAATGGCAGCGTTAGGAGCACTGGCTACACCAGCTCCATCAGCACCAGTACCACTCCCAGAAGCTATGTGCCGGCCACTTCCCAGAGATCCACTGTTCCCGTGAATCGTGGCAAGAATCGCTACTCCAACTTTAAGACCCAAGCTCCGGTGCAGAGAACCCGAGGAACCACCACTCCTAGGAGTACCACCCAACGGACAACCGCCTCGTCATCGTCCTCTTCACTCTCAACGCTCAACCAACACATCACGGCCCTGGCTTCGAACTACAACAGTGGCTACAGCTACAACCAGGCCCCGCAGATAAGCCGCCCCAGCCAGCAGTCTCCGGCACTCGTCTATGCCTCCACCGCCTCTCAATCTCCACCTCCATCCCAAGCTCAGTCTCAGATCACATCCAGTCTTACACCTGCCTCTGCTTTCCTTTCCTTTGATAAGTTAACCCGTGCCATTGTTGACGAGTCCGTTTTGCAGAATTTCAAGAGTGCCCAGTCTCTGGGTTCCAATCAACAACATCATCATCATAATCCCCAGCAGCAGCAGCGCCAGCAGCAGCAACACCAAGTGGCAAAGCAGCAACATCACGCGGTCAGCAGCAGCAGCTACGTGAAGCCAGCAGCAGCGCCAGGTAATGTCCTTTTTATACCCTTTACAGGGTATTATAATTTTAGTCAGATGCTGACAAAGCAGTGAAAGAATCGTTTCCGACCCTATAAATCATATATATTTTTGATCAGCATCAACAGGCGAATCTTTCTGGGCATGAAGGAAAGGAAATAATTTTTTGTAATTTTTTTCAATATTTTATAAGGGGTTACATCATTAAAATTGTCAAAAATGTTAATTTTTTCACATTTTAAACGAAGTATGCAGATTTATTAGCCTTGAAAAAACTAGCATGGGACTGCTTTCCGAATTAAAATTAATGCTTGTTTGGCTAAGTTATGAGATTTTAAAGCTTTGATATTTACAAAAAATTGTCATATAAAAATATAGATAAATATCGAATCAAATATGGTATTATAGTTTTAGTCAGGAGCTTGTAACACAGTGAAGGAGTCATTTTCGACCCTATAAATCATATATATTCTTGATAAGCATCAACAGGCGAATCTTTCTGGGTATGTAGGAAAGAAAGTAATTTTTTGTCAATTTTTTCTAAATTTTATAAGGGGTTACATCATTAAAATTGTCAAAAATTTTAATTTTTTCACATTTTAAACGAAATATGTAGATTTATTAGCCTTGAAAAAACTAGCATGGGACTGATTTCCGAATTAAAATTAATGCTTGTTTGGCTTAGTTATGATTAAACCCATGATCCTATGGCTAACGTCATGGGTATCCTAAGTTTGGCTTCTCGAAGTTTTCTTCATTTCTTGTTAAACATCTTTTTTAACCCTGTCGATACTTATTTACCGTAGCTATTTCCACCCTGACTGCTCCGCAACGTCCTCAACAGGCAGCTTCTCAGTTGCCCCAGCTGTCGGCGATTCCAGGCATAGTGATTGCTCGAGCCGAGGGTCAGCGTATTAGTCCCAATCCCGCCAGTACCATCATATCGAACTTGGCTACCCAGGCCCCACCAGCAAGCAACCAGGGCAACTCCTATGTCTCCCTTAACGATTTCTTGAGCAACAAATTTGGCCAGCAACAACAACAGCAGCAGCAAAAGCAACAGCAGCAGCAGCAGCAGCAGCAGCAGCAACAGCAGCAGCAACAGTACCAGCAGCAAAGGGTACAGAAGCAGCCTGTACAGCAGCACCATGTTAATCAACAGCAGCAACTCAGCTACATTTCACAGCAATACCAACAACCTCAGCAGCAGACAATCTACCAGCAATATCAACAGCCTCAACAGCATCAGCAGCAACATCCATTCCAGCAGCAGCAGCAACAACATTCCTTCCAACAGCAGCAGCAACATGTCCAACACCAACACCAACAACAGCAGCAACGCCCCTCGATCCACAACAATCAGCAACCGTACCTCACGCCCAACATCTTTGTGCCCTACCAGCAGCAGCAGCAGCAGTTGCCTCAGTTCCCGCCGCTGGCTCCTCCCGTGGCCGTGTCCACTGGCAACATAGCCCAGGGACCAGTGATAGCCGGACGGCATGTGGATCACCTCAATGTGCAACTGCCCACCTTGGGGAATGGCCTGATACCCGGACTGCAGCTGGCCCAGAAACGTAGCGATGTCTCGGCCAGTCAGCTCCAATACACCGACACCATGGGCAAGGGTAGCTTCTCCGGATCCGGCAAGAGTAGGGAGCGTGCCTTCTACGCCGGACGCACATCCTATGACGTGCCGCAGAGCAGCGTCGGACGGCTGCCAAACGATGTAACGCAACAGCTTCGCCGAAGGCTACGTCGCTTCTAGGATCTAGAGACATCATTAATTTGTAAATTAATTTAAATAAATTAATAAACTATTTATGCCTAAGCTAAGACGACAATTGTAATTACAGCTGTACGATGTAGAGAGAGATCAGTGTTCCCTAGTATGTGTGTGTATATTTTTGCATATTTATTAATAAATAAAACGAAAAATCCACAAAAGAGAGCCATAAGATCAATTTTTCTTTAGCTAAAGATCAGTATTTATGCGACTCCAGTTTGTATTTCGATCGTTAGACGGAACAGCTTAAGAGCTTGGCAGTCCTTTTGCTCCCTGTTGTAGGCAGAGTAAGTTTGTGCTCTTGCTTGTGAGATTAAGTTTTTATTGTTTATACGCTTTAGAGTTTAAAATTATCAGCAAATACGTACAGACCTTACCGGATACGAATACAATACAAGGTTTCATTATGCTGGCATTAACTTTTACATTAGCACTTCTAATATTATTATAATTATAATTATAATTATTATATGCATATATATCATCATATATCTATATTGTTTTACAATATTCCATTTTGAATTGGGCTTCGAATGTTCGTTCTATTTATACGTAACGTTAGTGCAACTGCGCATCGTCTCCCGTGTCTGCTTCAGTTATGGTGATTACTCAGTGTTAGTTATCGCGGTATGGCATGGAGTATTCGTTTATACAGACAGAATTCAACTAAACCGAATTATCAATAGTCAATTGGTGATGCAGAGGGGGTGGGTGGGCATTAAAAATAACTACAACTAAAAGGTACTAATGCAAGGGCGAGATAGAATAATTTAACTTTCGACTTAAACATAAACAACTAAGGATGCGGCGTGAGGGAGGAACCTAACTAAGTATAAAGCCTAAAATTGTACAGCGGATTTATACAAAAAACTTTGTATGGATTACGAAATGCCCACCAGTCGGAGACTTATGTACAAAGCTAAAGGGGGTGCAGCGAGCTGCTTGGGAATCTGCGGGATCGTGCCTTCAACGCTCAACGCTTGGCGACCAGGCGGCATTTCTGGACGCGCACGCGTACTCAGGGAAGCGAGTGAACGTTGAACGCAGGCGGCGGTGCAGGAGCGGGTCCTGGAATGGCCGTCGCAGCCGGCGTTAGGGGCTCCATTTTCACGGAACCAGCTTCTGCATTGTCGCAATGCAGCTGGCAATAAACCTTGCGGTCCTCCTCTCTTAAGCTCCAATTGGCCGATCGCGCGCATGGCACATGGGCTGCCACCTTGCAGCTTCGCTGGAAACAGCACACGCTTGCTCCCGTTTGCTGGCAGAGAACGCAGTGGTACCGCGTGCTGTCCCACACCGCTGCGTCCAGTCCATTCACATGGGCGCCGATCAGCTGGATGTCGTTGCTCCACACAGCGCAGTCCTCGTGCAGCCACACTTCATAGCCGTGCTCTGAGGTTTTCCCCATTCCGCGGAATGTCTCTATAAACTTGGACTCGTGGCTGCAGTCCAGCGGGTCCACAGAGGAGCACAGTGAGCGCGAGTCGTTGGGGTCGTCGCTGTAGGACATGGTACTGTCGTGTGTCTGCTTGCGTTTTCTTACCATGCTTATTTTGGGTGCCTGCATTATTTGGCCAAGCGTAGCGGGCACCACAGGCAGATTTCTCTCCTGCGTCTTTACCATATCCTCGCGCCGCCGCTTGCTAACGAAGAGCCCATCCACGTCCTGGACACCAGGTGCCTGCAAGGCCGCTCGATACTCCTCGCAGTCGCTGGTCACCAAATACGGACCAAAGAGATCGCCCAGGCCCAGCTTGTGCGGTCCCCGCTTGCAGAACACACATATCCAGGTGGAGTCTGTGGTGTCCGCATCGTACCGGTTACTCAGAGTGGAGCTGTGCATACCCCGCAGGTTTTTTCGCTCGTGCGGCGCCTTCTTAACCTTGGTCTGCTTCTCGTTGACGTCCTCGGCGCTGTGAGTGTTCTTAATGCTCACACTGCCGTCCGGTTTAATGAGAATGAAGGGTGACTTAAACCTCAACTCGGCGGAACCTGATGCACCGCCGCCGCCTCCGTTTGTGGGGGCCGGAGTACTGTCCTCGTCGGTGGTGATCGCTGGCTTCCGGCCAGGCTTCTTTCCATTCTGCTTGGCATTCTTCGCATTGGCCTTAGTCGCTGCTCCCTTTTTGCCTTTGCCCACGGCGTTTTTCTTCTTGGCTCCGCCTGTAGCCCTTCCCTTCGGCGCAGCTGCCGCCTCGCTTAGCTGGCGAGCCGCCAGTGCCGCTGCAGCTGCTGCCGAGGTGCTAGGCTTGTCATCGTCCTCTTCGTCGTCCAGCTCTGGCTGTGAAACGGCTTTCTTTTTGCGTCCTGGCTTCTTGGCCGGTGGCGACTCGTCGATCATAAAGCGCAGCAAGGAGGCGTCCATGCCCATCGATAGTCTTCGAGGTGGCAGCCTCCGGGATGAGGCCGCCTTGGTTGCAGGAGCAGCAGGAGTGTTGTCCTTACTCTCTTCAACCGCTGTCAGGGGCGTGGAGGTGGAGCTTCGGGCTTGTGGCGCGGGACTGTGCACGGGACTGGGCATCGTTGACTTCATCGCCGCCTTGGTTGCCATTGGCCTAATCTCAGGCGGAGCAGCTGCTGCTGTAGCTTCAATCTTTTCCGCTGGCGCCTCATCCGGTTTGGCGCTGTCCAGAGCCAGCTGTGCGCTTAAGTCATGGTTAACAGCCTCTTCCGCCGGCTTTTCGGGGCTGCAAATCGTTTCCGACTCCTCCTCGATGCCAGCAAACATTTCCTCGAGCTTATCCTCCACTTCCCCAAAGGGACAGGGCTCTGAGTTGGCTGCCGGCGATGCTTTCTTGGTCACATCCGGATCCGTGGGGGGAGGAGCAGACGATTCGGCTGGCGTTTCTTTGATCGGTTCCGCTGGTTCTTCCTCCTCATCGCACTCGTGCACACTCACCGCTGGCTTAGCGTCAATGTCCCCCTGTTCCACCAAAGCCGGTGATGCTGGAGTGTCTGTAGTGGTCTTGTTCTGGCCACCTCCTTCCGGCTTGGGCTCCTTCCGATTGTCATGACTCGCCTGGCTGCTGCGGCTGCTGTGCGAGTTTGCACTGGAGCTACTCGAGCTACTGCTGCTGCTGTTGCTCTGCGGACTCGGTGGTGGCATGCTGGGCGGCGTGGGCTTCTTGGGCGGTTCGTCCTCCTGCTGCTGACGCTGCTGCTGCTGCTGTTCGGTGATATTACGCTGCAGCAGGGCCTGCCGCTGCTTCTTGGTCTTGGGGTTGTCGTTGTCATGATACAGTGTTGAGCTGTTGCTATTACTGCTGTTTTCCGCTGCCGTTGGTGAGCCACCGCCGCATCCGTTCTCCTGCGGCGCCTTATCGTTGACGGTCTGCGTCTGCAGGCTGAAAGGTTGAAAGTCACCACCTCCATTCTTGGGCGACCGTTTAGGACTACAGCTATTGCCCTGGTGGACCAGCGGTTGTTGTGGCTGCTGTTGTTGCTTCGTGTTTCCACCTTCTGGGGCGTTTTCGTTTGGCGTAACACGCATAACCATGCTGGACTTTCGTTTGCGACGCTTTCGACTATTGCTGCTGTTGCTGTTGGACTCCAGCGACTCCTCGTTCGAGGTGGTCAGGTAGGGCGACTCGGGAGCATCTGGCAATGAGTTGGCTGCCGGCTTATCCGCCTCGGCATTCCGGTAAGACAGATCAGTAATGACAGGCGTTGACTCCTCTGTCTCTGGCTTGTGCTTGACTCCCAAGGAATCGAGATTCGTGTGGTGAGCATTGCGGGAATGATGCGTCTGCTGCTGCTGCTGGCTTGGAGGGGCCACCTGCAGGTGGGGCGGAGCATCTTGCGCTTGTTGGCCATGGAACTGGGCGCTGGCCAAGTGCGGTGGCAGGAGTGGAGGTGGCGGAGCTGTTGCCTGGCTGGCCACGTGCTGATTGTGGTAGTGCAAGTGCTGCGAGTGATCCGATTGCATGTGCTGGTAGCTGTTGCCGCTGCCATTGCCTCCACCCGAGCTGTTGAGCTGATGATGGTGCTGGTGCAAATGTAGCTGATTGTAGTCCATGGTAGGGGACTGCAACTGATGTGACGGCGGGGCAGCCAGCGGCGATTGAGGCGTGGGCGGCGTCTGTGGTCCATTGTATTTGGGTGTGAGGTTGTAGGGCGGCTGTTGCTGCTGCTGGTGATAGTTGCGAAGGGGTGAGGCTAATCAGGGGAAAACGGATTAGTTGTATGAAGACCTTGAATTTGGGTTAACGTTTGTGCTTACGTTTCTTATTGGCGTGTTGCTGCTGCTGAACATTGTGCGTGGGCAGTTTGCTGGGTGTTCCCGCTCCCGGGTATCCTGCGCAGTCCTTGTCCTTCTGCAGATTCTTCCCCGAGAGCAGTTCGTGGTCAAAGCTGCGTTTTAGTTGAGCCAGCTTGAAGTTCTCATCGCGAGAATGCATATACTGCGGGCTGGGTATGTTATTGTTGCTCCCACTGCCGCCACTGCTGCTGCTGCTATTACTCCCCGCGTGATTGCTGCTGTTCCCCGAGGCAGCACTTGTAGGCGGTGGTGGCGGAAGTAGTGACTCGCATACGCCTCCATTACTCATGCTAGAGGAGCTACTCGACTGCAGCAGACTGGCATGTGCGGCAGCCATGGCCGCCAGGTGACCCTGTTGCTGTTGCTGCTGCTGCATCTGTGCGCTATTGGGCGAGGCGTTGGTCGTAAGATTTTGACTGCAAAGAGGGTAAGCTTCTTAGAATTTTTATCTTTAAAGGATCCATTGCTTAGCTGTTACATTGATGGATAATTGGGGGCATGCATCAGCGATTGCTGTTGCTGCTGCTGGCTCAGCGGCTGCTTGGTCAGCGGCTGGGCCGCACTGCGAGCGGACTGCAACGACAGGTCCATGGAGTCGAAAGGCAATGTTCCTGAGTAAGGCGGTGCCAGCAAGGGATTCATCTGATGATGGTGGTCCAGCTGCAGATGGGAAAAGCCACTTAACATGTTATTAAGAGCTAAAAATGGAACAATACAAATACAGGACTTGGACGGCAAGCGGCAAGAAAACAAAGCAAACTAAGAAACTAGGATAACGACAGGAAAAACGAGGCTAAGGAAGAGGCTTCTACGACAGACTAAAGGCGGAGCATGCTATGCAGGTTAACTAAAATCAGCTTCCTAACTTCCTCCAAGGGCCTAATTACGTTTTTATGATTGGCCGACATGAAATTGTAAATGGCTTCGGGAGGCGGTGGCGGCGGCGGCTGGGAGGATACGGAGCCGGAAACGTGCCACGCCAGCGGCGATCGCACCATGCCGGGCCGCTCGTTGGACATGTGCGCCAACTGCGGCTGTCGGGGAATGTAAGACGGTATCTGCGGAGGAGAACGAGAAGGGACGAAAGGAAGGGCGGGCAGTTAGTCAGCATTCCTTCGCTAGGGGCTCTCCAAAATCCTATACTCACTTGCAGCGGGTTCCAGGAGGGATTCTGCGCCGCCTGGCTAAGGTGCCCGGGATGCGGGTGATTGTTGTTGGCCATCTCGCAGGTGCTAACTCGAGGATGGTGTATGAAGAGCCCGGGTCATGGGCCGTCGCCGTCTGTCGGTGCTGCGGTACCCAATACGCGGATTACTTGGCTGAGGAAGGGGCGGGGTGGGAAGGAGACGACGACCTAATCTTACGAACTGGGGATCCTGCACGGCACTTGCTAACTCCGGCCGGACAGCCGCTGCTCTTTTTCGCCCATAAACAAGACCGCACGCACTTTTTTCACACCACCCACAACACCACACACACACAGGCCGACCCACTCGGCGCTCGGAAAAGGCAAAACGGTTTTTCGCCGCTCTCGTGGTCCTTGCGCGATAGCGATAGCAGGGCAGCCGATAACACACAACCTATCGACAGATGACAGCGCGTTTGTTTTGCACGCTACGCCAAAACCACGCGGTCTTTGGCCCGGCCGAACGTCCTGCACACTTCAATTATCCGCCTCTGATCCATGGTCAGATGCTAATGGCGTTGGAATTAGCGGCTACAGGGTGTCTTAAGCGGCGGCTTAGTGGGTTAGTTAGCGACAAGGCGGGTAAGCGGTTCGAATACCTCTCGATTTTCAGCGGCAGCGCATTGCGAATTCGTTGCGACGGCGTGCGAATTTTTCTTGTTTTGGGTCGCAGCACAGGCAAATCCGAAACGGACTCTGGGTGGCGTCAGCGGGCCCCGTTTTCCGGCTAACACATGTCGGCGGATGAGGTAGGACTCCGTGTTGCCAATTATACAAATGCCGCAACGTTGTTATTGTGTTTTTAGGTGTATTTTCAATTGTTTAAAACAAAATGTAATTTATGAGTGCTGCAGTGTGACCGAAGTGTGTGTTACTGAAAATACCAGAGAAGAAAAATCAGCGGTATTGGGGGTGATAAAATACCAATTGATTTAAACTTATTGAAGATGTGGTATTTATCAATTATTGGCGCCAAAATACGTTAATACTTTTGTGCAGCCCTGGCCGCTGCAAAATTTACAAAGTGCTTTTAATTTTGGAGAAATGAGCGTCGCAAAACGTGGAGCCTTTATTGTTTTTGAGGGATGCGATCGCAGCGGAAAGACCACACAGAGCCGGTTGCTGGGTGAGCTTTAGAAACTAACTAAATCCGCCACGTACTGATTCCTTGATCTTCTCCAGCTGAGTTCCTGAAGTCCAGAGGGATTGCCACCGTGTCAATGAACTTTCCGGAGCGGAGCTCCAGCATCGGCCAGGTGATAAATTCGTATCTAACCAACAGCAAAGATCTACCCGACGAGGTGATCCACCTAATGTTCTCCGCCAATCGCTGGGAGCACATGAACCAGATCAAGCAGCAACTGCTGGCGGGCACAACGCTGATTGTGGATCGATTTTCATACTCCGGCGTGGCCTACAGTGCGGCCAAGGGACTGGACTTTGACTGGTGCTATGCGCCGGAGAAGGGTCTCTTGAAACCCGACGCAGTTTTCTACCTAAAGACCTCAGTGGATTCCCTGACGAATCGAGGGCAGTACGGCGAGGAGCGGTGAGTAATTTGCCTTTCGTTGTCTGCAATAACGGACTCATTACCTTAATCTCTTTACAGCTATGAGAAAGTAGAATTCCAGAGTCGTGTGGCCCAAGTTTTCGATCGCATTTGCTCTAGGGAAGCCTCCTACTGGCACCAGTTCGATGCAAGCCAGTCGGCAGAGGATCTGCACTCACGGATAGCCAGCATAGCGGAAAACCTACTGCAGAAGGTGGAATCCCAACCGCTGGATAAGTTATCATAGCAAAAAAAGACATCGAATCGCCATTCATTAGAGAGGATTTACCTTGATTTATGCTATACATGCGCATTTTATAAATGCTTTTTAAATGGCGCTTAATTTTTAATTTACGATAAGGCCTCCGCCGCAGGCAATAAATCCCGACATCAATGCGATGGCCAAGGACAGGCGTCGCACACGTTAGGTGTTGAACGAAATGCATTTACCGAATTGAACACATCAAGTGGATTAAGTACTTAAGGCGCAGGATTCCGCCCAGGTTGGCAAATGCAATTTTATTTCACGCAATCATTACTATTACCCTCTTTGTTTTGGGTTTGCTCCATTGTAGTTCGTTTATTTCACACACCACGACACCGAGGGCTCTGCTCTCTCTTGATTACTTACTATAGCTATCTCGAAAAATAATTTATGTGGATTTAAACTTAGTTGCTAAACCAATTAGGGGGGCTCCTTCTGGGCTCCTCGAAAAAATAAACTACTAGTTGAACTCATAGCTCTCGTAGCCCGAATCCTCGCGGCGGTTGCGCGGTCCCGGGGTCTTGGGGCTCCTTGTTCGCAGAGTCAACTGGCGGTAGCCAACGCCTGGCTTGTAGTCCACGTTGAGGGAGGGATGCGGCCTTAGCCCAAAGGCACCGCTACGCCGCTTCTGCGCCTGGTGGTAGGCGGCAATGTCCCCATAGCTGTGCTTTGGCCACATGCACTCGCAGCCAGAGGGCACGGTCCGCGTCTCGGATTCCCAGCAGCCGGAGGCGTCGTTTAGCCGGATCAGGTGGATGGTGCGGTTGAGCTGGATGCAGGAGAAGCCCGTCGCCGAGCAGATCTAACGAGGAATACGAAAAGGGAGTTGTATTAACCTATGTTGACGAGAAATCTAGTAAAATCAAGTCACCTCTCGCTTCTCGCCGCGTTCGGAGAGCAGAGCTCGGAGCAGTTCATTGCCCCTGTAACCATACTCAAAGCTGTGGCTCCGGGATGGCAGTGGCGCGTAATTGTGGGCACAGGTCACCTCCACATAATGATTTGGACGGTATTCCCCGCTCTCCAACTTCACAGTTACCCGATTTGTGGGGCACAGCGACTGATAGGTGACCACCTGCCAAAATAATAAGATAAATATAGCTTCATAAAGGACCTACAAGAACTACTCACCCCATCCGGATTAGGATTGGGACCCAGAAAGGGTGGAGGTGGCGGCATCACACTGCGCACTCGGCGCTTGCGCACATTCTGGATTCCATAGGGCAGCTGCGCACTTAACTCATTCGCATCCTCCTCTTGACCATCGGAGACGGCATAATCCTCTTCGCCTTCGACATCCACACCATTGTCGCGTTCTGCTGGCCACTCATTCTCATAAAACTCTGGTTGACCTGGTTCTCTGCCAACTTCGGCCTCCTCCGCGGCTGCCCTGGAATTGTAAAATGCATATGGAAATTTGTTAGCTTTGGCCATGAATTAGTGCTGCTCTACGGCCCAATGGACCCACCGTTGCCACCACGGATGCCTGCTGTCTCCGCAGGCAAGCGGAAATGACTGCAAAAGCGGTTAGACACGGAGAGAAAATGTTTGAATCGTAAGTTTAACTAGCAAATCTTTTGAAAAGTATAAACAATGTATGGAATTAATTGTTTATCGAAAGATAGCCTCAAAACTATCTGTTTACGTATACTTCTCTACAGATCTTGAGATTTAATCAGACCAATTACACCCATTTATTATTTTAAAAATTAGTACCTTTCCCTAATTTTTTCATATGTAATAATGCCCAGAAGCAGACTTGGCTAAAAAATGAAAAATAAATTCATTTTTGACGTTTGTTATTTGCATGGCCGCCGCTTCTTTCAGCCATTTTTCCAGCTGGCCAACAAAAGCGCATCATTTTGCATTCAACTGCAGGCAAACGCCAATGAATTTTTTAGCTTTCGCTTTGGCGCGCGGCTTTGTCTGAGGATTGCAGCTGAAGCTGAAGCTGGAGCAGGAGCAGGAAGAGGAGGAGGAGGTTCCCCTCACCCTGTCCCCCTGTTGACGGCTATGGTGATGGCGTTGTCCTGAGCCTGTGGCGCGGCACAAAGCTCTACGTTACGCGACTGTCGTTGCCTGCCAGCGGATTTCCCCTTTTGCGTTGTCGATGCTTTCAGTGGAGGAGCCCCCCGACTCATCCCCATCATCCACTACCCCCTGTTCTTCCTGGTCGCCGCCGCCGGCTTTGGCTTTCAGTTCCAGCGGCGTTGGCATTTCGGGGAAGCGCTCACTCTTTTAGGGCAAACAACGGCTTTGATAGTTTTGTCGCAAAGTTTGCGAAAATGTTTTGAAAATGAATGCAGATGGAATAGTTGAGGTGAGAGTGGTTGTTTAAATTAGCGCAGAAAAAAACACTGAGGTCTTAGCCATAATACTGTTTTGTGGCTCTGTGGCAGCGACGAGGGAATAGTTGTGGCTTTTTGTGCTGCAGTTTTTTTAAAACTGAAAATCGATTTTACATTCTAGTTTTAGTTGGTTAAATCAGGTCTTTAAGAAGCTATGAATATGTCATATTCAAGCTAGAAGCTCCACTTATATTCCAGGGTAACCTCCTCCTATCAAACAAAGACTTCAAAGTTTCCGTTTCTTTTTTGCTTTCCAAGAGCCAATTGTCCTCTTTTCATATTTTGGTTTTCATCTCGCTTTGTGTCCAATTTTTGCTGAATGCAGCAAGCAGATTACGTAATCCCCGGCACAGAAATCACTTGATCCTTGCAGCTCCTCATGATCTCCGACAAAGGGGATAGAGTTCAGTCGAGAGGAATCAGCTTAAGCGCTTACGTTTGTGCTTACGCTTACGTCATGGCATGATGGCATTGACATTTAGTTGATATGCAACCAACCAGTGAGCCCGAGACCCCTGGGATTAGTCTGGACTCTGCTGGACTCTGCAGGACTCTGCTGGAGGAGCAAGTGCAACGGCTTCATTCGCCTTGTCGGCTCCAATCATTGGCGGTCACATTTGCCGGGAATGTGAATGTAGTCGGACAGAGTAAAAGGATGGAAAGGCTGGAAACGGTAGTAGGATCCTCCAATATGGGTAATTTTCCTCATTTTCGTTGGTATTCTGTTGTTATTGCCCAAATCGGTGACCCTAGCAGTGATGAGAAGAGCTAGGTGTACCTAAGGGTACTTTTTCGATCTCATAAAGTATATATTCTTAGTATAAATTTATCATTCATCATCATTATTTAAAATAAATATTATTTTGTATTTAAAAATATATACTAATTAAGTTAAATAATAATTTAAATTAAATATTACTGGTCGTCTTACCTTCGTTTACTGTTGCTGCTGCGGCTGCGACGAGCCAGCAGGAGTTGCTCCTGTTCCCGTCGCCTCTTTGCCAGCTCCCGTGCGTCCACTTCATCCGATTCCTGCCAGTTGCTGGGACTGTCAGGGTCCTGGCCAACAACAAACCTGCCCGCACCTGAAACGGCCGCATTTAAGTCGGACAATTGCAGACGGAAGTCATTGCGAGCATTCTCGGGATCATCATCAAACTGTTCCTGCAACTGTCCCTGTTGCTGCTGCTGCAAGTCTTGTATGCTGTGGATGGGATTTCCGTAGAGTTTTTGCTTTTGCCATTTGGCCGGTGCTTTGTTGTAGTTATAGTTGTCATTGTCATTGTTGTCCTCGTTGTCCTCGTTGTCCTGGATGCTGCCACTGCTGCTTTCCGCAATGCCATCGACATTCTCGTGCCCATTCCCACCACGCTCCCACTTGTAGTTGTAATCGCCGTAGTTGTTTCTGCTGCCCGTAGTCCTAAAGCTATATCTATTGTTCCCAGCGAGTGGAGGTGATGCCTCCTCCATCGATGATGATGCCGCCTCCATGGCCTCCGCTTCGTCGCAGGCCAGGACGAGCGTTCGTCTGGAAGAGCCGCTGCCAAAACAGCGAGCAGCAAGAATGGCGGCCAGGAGCAGCTGCAAAAACAAAAGGGATATAGAGACGATGAGAAGGGGGTTTCAAGGGGTTTTCAGCGGAGGAAAATGTCAAACAATTGTGCTGTGTGGCCAATAAACTGCCAAGTGTCAACAGTTGGGTGGGAATATATCCTACGTTGTTCCAAGGGGGTTTTCGCCATGCAAATACACTCATTCAAATGGCAAACAATGTACGTGGATTAATATTTATCAAACGAGATTAGATATTCCGCAAAACGAGGATTACAACGAGGGAGAAACTGAAGCTTAAAATAGGAAAAAGGAAATATTGTATTGTTACCAATTTAAAGTGACTTTTTGCCTGGTATTTCGCTTACTACTATTATCTTATCTTATAGTTATTTAATTTAATTGTTATTGTTCATTATTGCACAACAATACCAATTCAATCTAGCCATAAATTCTATTTAAACAATTAAAGTATTGCTCGCCAAGATAAGCAGTTTTCAGTTTCTTGGAAAATTTTCAAGACCAAACGATCGAAACGAATTTAATTTATGGTAGTTCCCCCGAAAGTATCGATTTATTGCCCTAAAGGTGACGTATTTGCTTTTGCCTTATCAAATTGGAGTAACTCAGGGAACACCTTGCATGTGCCAGGTGCACTATCAACTCAATTGCCTTATCAAGGGCTAGTAGTAGTTGCATCATCCGGCGGGGAAAGCGTATAAATTCCAACGAAATAAATAAGTATTTACTTTGTAGCTTAGTGTATTTTGCAAACCATCAAATCGACCACTAATTCAACTAAGAAACTCAACAAAATTTCGATTGACGAAGCCGAAAAACTTAAACAGCCGCCGTCGAGTTGCTGAGGGAAAGTTCAATTCCCCGGCTGGATGTTGACAATCAATGGAATAACGGCGGTAACCGAAAAGCGTCCCAAACCGAACCCAAATAAGATGAAAAGTTTTCGAAGGGAGTCAGTCTCCTCCATCCTCCCATCCGGTAATCCTGCGATCCTGAAGTTCCCATCCTTCGCAAGCTGCGAAAAGTTTTTGTTTTGCGGCAGCAGGACTTTAGACATGTCTGGTGGTGGGGATGTGCGATGGCTCCTGATTATGTGGTCTGGTCCAAGGGTTTGCCCCGAGTGAAAATAGTTGGAAATAGGCGACCTTTGGCGATAATATGCGGCACGCGCATCCCCCATATATGGACGGAGATATTTGCCATATACGAGTATGGCTACATTCATTAGAGGCACCCACTATATATAGTACGTGACCGAATAGTTGGCGCCCGGAAATGCTCAAAACTAAGATATGAACACACACAGTGGCAGCTCCACTTCCTGTTCCCTCTTTTACTCTGTCGCTCTACAAGTTCTTTTGTTTCAATCTGGTTTTTAGTTGCACAGGAAGAAATAGTCTGTTTAAAGGAAAGGTACTATAACTCAATTCTTGGGTACTTCAGTAAAGGTTTCAATTGAAAAATGTATTTTATATTAGGATAGAATATTATTTTCACGGGATAACTTAGAAAATATGTATCAAATGTTTCTCATCCCTATTTTCCCAGTGTACTATATGTGCTTGTATATGGCTATATGTGCAAGTATCTCGGATATATGCAAGTGTTGTTGCCGCTCTGGATTTATAAGATTTCTTTTATGCTCTTGCCGGGCCTACCACAAAACTTCTTTCATTTATCTCGCCCACTCTCCCCGGATCCCTTGCAGGATCCTTGCAGGAGCCGGCAGCAGGGCAAGGAGCAGGCCGAAGGGGCCAGGCCAGCAAGTTTGTCAAACTATTTGTATGGAATTCACAATTTGTGTTGATGAAGTTTCGTCCAAGTCGCTCCAAGTCGCAGCTTACGAAGGCGACCGCGTGATCTGCGTGAACTGTGTGAACAAGTGTTTATGGAATTGAATTATTTTGCCCTGTCCTTTTTCTTTCTATTTGGGGTTTTTTTCTTGCTGGCCTAGATTTTCCCAGTTTTTCTTTCGAGCTTCTTGGGAAAGCCAGGTGGCTGCCGGTAAGAGGATGGAATGTGGGCGTTATCTGTTTTTGGGAGCTTACAGGTGGCTTTGTCTTAGGCCTGGTCCATCGCCTTGTGATTTAAAGTTGCCCAATAAGCCGCTTTCTTGGGTCAGGCTGGCTAAGAGCAAAGAATATCTGGTATTTAATGCATAAGAAGGAGCTTCTAATACAACCTTATTAATTATTTAGTTTAAGTGTAGCTACAAATGTTCTTAAGGTGGATTCTAAAGTTAATTACTTTTCTTTCATCTAAAAACAAATACTTTTTTGTCCTTCAACCGCTGAGAGTCTTGACCACTATCTCGTCTAGCTTTAAACAAACATATTTCATATTTCTTTTATTTGTAGAGCAAAGATAGCATCGTTTTTTAAACAGATGATTATTTAACTATTAGAATTACTATCTTGAGCTACTATATATTTTAGGGTCCTAATCCGGTCTATCTCTCACTTGATGATTACCTGGGCTACATTTTCAAGTCCTATAGTTGCATTTTAATTACGATAAAAATCACAAAACACTCTGCACTTTATGACCATCTCCTGGAAGCCGCTTAGCCTCAATTTATTTTGATATTTTTGTGAAATATGTTTCTTGTTTTTCAGCGCCACACAACTGGAAATAAAACAATAAACAACAAACAAACAGGTGACCTGGGCTATTGAAAGTATAATTTCATAATTTATGGTGTTATATTTGTGCATAGTTTTTGGTCGCTTGGCAGCCTTATGCAAATTATTGTTTTCCTCCTTTATCATTTCATATATATTTTTTGCAACTAGTTTTTCTTCGTTTTTTGTTATGTTGCAACTAGTTTGGCGACTGATGCTGCTGCTGCTGCCATTCAATTACATTTTTGCAATCAAACTGCAATGTGGCCAGACAATGTTCAGCTGCTCACCTGGCCAGGACAGACAGGCAGACAGACAAAAATATCTCGCTCTATATAGTATATATGTATGGTGGGTGTATATATCTGGCATATGTGTGTGCTTATATATATTGCATAAATTTGTGACCTTTCAGTTTTCAATTCAATTTCCACAGCACGGCGGCAATTGTTCGAACAAAACTTGGTCCTTGCCAGAGCATCAGCCAGCAGGCAGAAAAACAACGAAAACTAAGCGGGCGAGAGAGAAGGAGGACCAATTTGCATGCTTGTCGTCGTGGTGTGTATCCTTTTTCGGGGGTTCCCAGTTCCTGCTGGTTTTTATATCCGCAAAAACAAGAGCCTGCAATTCTCCCCTCGATTTGTTTTAATTGTTGCGCTCGCTCCTTGTTTTCGTCCGCTTGTTATTGTTATTGTTATTTTCCTTTTTTGTTTTTTGTTTTTTTTTGTTTTGGGTAGCTCTAGCGCTTTCTGTCTGGCGCTTATTGGCAATTGTCAAATATTGGTTTTTTTCCTATTATTATTGTTTCATCAATGGCATGAAGCGATTTTAATTAATCGCCAAAAGTTTGCCAATTTCAAAGTTTTTCGGGTATTAATTTGATTGAGCCATGTTCTCGGAATGTTGACAACATGCATGCGTTGGGAAAAATTTAAGTTTTGTTTCTGTCTTTTCAATTAAAAGGCATCACCGCAGGTTCTCCTCTTTGGGATACCCCATGTTACGCATACGCCATGTGTGCCAGCTACAGTTGCCATGTTTGCACACACAGACCGGTTTTAGATAGGAAAAACCTTGTACAAGTAGCAGATTGGTTGCTCTGCTGCCTGCAAATCCTGTTAATCACCTCTATCACAGGTGAGGCATCTGCACGTAGCTCACTTTTTGCCGCTTTAAGTCCCCGCAGCAGCAGGAAATAGAAGGAGATGTGGCGTCATAAGAGAGAGAGAGAGAGAGAGAGAGAGAGTGGAAATAGTTACAGAAACTGCTGGCATTTCTGCTATTTTCTAGCAATTGTGTTTTGGATATTTCAAGAGCTTGAAAAGAGCTTATTTCTCTAATTTATTATCCTTAAAATGCATGGCTTAAAGTGAAGTTTATTCAGCTATTTTTATGTATACATTTTTGTAGAAACATTAACCTTAGCATCTCTGGCCAAAGGTTAGCATATTCAGGTGGCGGGATGTGTTCTTTCAACTGAGACTTTGATCCTGTCTGATACCCAGAGCTCCATCGGTGCCTGGACGTAGCTTTAATGCTCCAATTAGTGGCTCTTTCGTTCGCTGGCTTATTTGTGGTCCTGCGTTTTATGAGTCGCATTCGTGCCGATTTAGGATGTGAGAGTGCATTACAGCATCTCCCTTGGCCCCTGACTCCCATCCTCCGCCAATGGACCGAACAATGAACTTGGTGCCGAACAATCCCTGCACTTGACTTATGCAGTCGGATATAGGTATATGCTATATAGGGAAACCTAGAGTGAAAGCAGCTTATTCCTATTGAATGCCGGAATGCCAATATCGGCACAAATACTCGCATAATTTTGGATCCTCAATTACATAGCTGCCCCTGTGGCTTTTGTTCCCTTTATGTTCGGATGTGGAGGTGGAAATTAAATCTGCCAAAGAGGCGATTAAGCCAAGCGATTTCATTTGCACAATGCGCTATGGATACCCTGCCAGGATTCATTGCTACGGATCGAGTTTAATCACTGGCGAAAGGATGAATGGGGAAGATATTAACTACCACTGAGCGAAGGCTAGTATACTGATTAAAATAAACTGATTAAAGCTGGAATATATACTAACTTCCCTTATAATTTATTCCCCCATTTGAGTTGCAGTTTGGCGTTGCTGGTCAAATTCCTGTTTGTTTGCCTTTCCTTTGATTTCCATATTGATTTATATGAACCTTGTGTGTGTGTGCAAGTGTGTGTGAGTTAGTTGTGGCGTGCGAGCAAGGAATGCAACAAGTGCAACAATGCAATCAACGTAAATACACACACACACACACATATACACTCGCACATGCCGCACAACCCCCCATGTATTTAAATGCTGCCCGAAGCATGTGTTTGTGGCATCGTGTGGAATTCTTGCTGCCTTTATA